TTTTACATAGTGGATGAGAGAGGAGCTTTGGAGTCGGACAGGCTGGAAGTTCACTGGGCAACCTTGGGTAAATCCATCACCACTCTGACCCTCAGTTTCCTCATCAGGAAAATGAGGACAATCATAGTGGTGCTGTGAGGGTGAAAGAAAACACTACACGGAAAGTGCTTTGGAAAACCTTTGGCACAGGGCTGCACACAGAGCTGTGGTCTCTGGAGATGATGCTGCATTAGTATTAATTCACACAGCGGTTACACCACTGCTTCTCAAGGGGGAATGAACTGGGACAGATCAAGCAGCCTTGATGGAGAAAGAGGCAGAATCAATCCCTCCAGTGAAAGAGGGAGAAGGCCTATGTTCAGAACTTCTCACAGAATTGCTGAACCCCATTTCAGATAGTTGTTTACTCTCTGTTTGCTCCATCATAGGGTGGTTTTTCTTTATTTTTATTTTTTAGGGTGTTTTTTTTTATTAATTTTTATTGGACTATGGTTGCTTTACAATGTTGTGTTAGCCCCCACTGCACAACAAAATGAATCAGCCATACACATACAGATATCCCCTCCCTTTTGGACTTCCCTCCCGTTTAGGTTACCACGGTGCATTAGGTAGAGTTCCCTGTGCTATACAGTATGTTCCCATCGGTTGTCTATTTTATACATAGTAACAATAATGTATATGTGTCAGTCCCAGTCTCCCAATTCCTCCCACTCCACCCCTTTCCCCCTTGGTATCCATACATTTGTTCTCTACCTCTGTGTCTCTATTTCTGCTTTGCAAATAAGATCATCTATACCATTTTTCTAGATTCCACATATATGCGTTATTATACAATATTTGCTTCTCTCCTTCTGACTTACTTCACTCTGTATGACACTCTCTAGGTCCATCCACGTCTCTACAAGTGATTAGGATGTTGTTTGTTTGTTTAATTCCCCTGCAACTCTTGTCCATGTACCAGAGAGCTCAGAGATCCTTTCATGGAAGCCAGACCCAGTTGAGTAGCTGCCAATTTGGGATAGAGGACAGAAAGACAGGCTGTTAGATGTCGCCTGTGCTGGAGATCAGTGAGGCTGTCCTCGGCATCTAAATCTGGATAAGCAGCTTAATTTTATCTCTCCCTGCACCGATGCATCTTGCCTTAGGGAGCCAAGCATCCTGGGAGAGAATAAGTGATGGGGAGACTCTGCCCTTTTGTGTTTCCTTTTGCTCCTGCATATGCGCTATCTTTGCCTCAAAGTTGTGCCAGCCTGGGTTGTTTTGATGCCTTACATCTTTGCGATAACATCTCATGCTGAGAGATCTAGGAGCAATAGGGAACAAGAAAGTGGGCAGAAAAAGAAGCCTCGATAGTTCTGATGGGTGAGGAGGGTTGCCAGATTGGCCTGCAGTTTAGATACCCTTTCAAGGCAGATCAGAGTTGCACTCCTCTCTCCCCATAGCCATCCGCCTTATCCAGTGTCTGGCATTCCCCAGAACCACGTACAGCAACTGGGCTCATGAATCTACACTAGAGTCTCAAATCTAAATGCCTCCTCAGGCAAGGTCAGTAGAATAAACTTGTGAAGGGCATACAATAGGGAATAGTGAGGACTGTGGCAAACAGAGCATATGTCTTATCTAAAGGGGGCAGCCACCCCGTGGCTGCCTCCAGTGGGCCCAGTGTTACTAGAGCTTCTGATTTTTTTCAAGAGAAAATAGAAATATGATGTGTGTGAGTGAGAGAGAGAAATGTCCCAATTTTCTTTATTGAAGTGTAGTTGATTTACAATGTTGTTAGCTTCTGATGTGCAGCACAGTGATTCCGTTATACACATATATGTATATATATTCTTTTTCAATTCTTTTCCATTATGTATAGTAGTTTGTATCTGCTAATCCCAAACTCCTAATTTATCTCTCCCCACCCCACTTTCCCCTTTTGTAACCATAGTTTGTTTTCTATGTCTGTGAGTCTGTTTCTGCCTTGTAAATAAGTTCATTTGTATCATATTTTAGACTCCACATGTAAGTGATACCATATATTTATCTTTGTCTGTCTGACTTACTTCACTTGGTATGATAATCTCTAGGTCCATCCATATTGCTGCAAATGGCATTATTTCATTCTTTTTATAGCTGAGTAATATTACATTTTATATATATATATTTATAGCTGAGTAATATTATGTTTTATATATATACATTTTATATATTTTTAATATAAATATATATACTTTATATATATATTACATTTTATATATATATACATTTTATAATATATTACTCAGCTTTTTATAGCTGAGTAATATTACATTTTATATATATATGTGTGTATGTATATATGTGTGTGTGTGTATATATATATATATATATAAACATACCACATCTTCTTTATCCATTCATCTGTCGATGGATACTTAGGTTGCTTCCGTGTCTTAGCTGTTGTAAATAGCGCTGCTATGAATATTGGGGTGCATGTATCTTTTCGGATTAGCGTTTTCTCCAGATATATGCCCAGGAGTGGATCATATGGTGACTCTTTTTTTAGGTTTTTAAGGAACCTCCATACTGTTCTCCATAGTGGCTGCACCAATTTTACATTCCCCCCAACAGTGTAGGAGGGCTCCCTTTTCTCCACACCCTCTCCAGCATTTGTTATTTGTAGACTTTTTAATGATGGCCATTCTGACTGATGTGAGGTGATACCTCATTATAGTTTTTTCCCAGTTTTTAACACACTGGGAGGGCTGAATGAACGGAGTTGCATGTGGGATGTTGCAAGATGCTGCAGGGAGGATTCTATCCTCAGGTCATGAGATTGGCATTTCTGACCTGGTCTCTTTACTGATAATTCGGTATTTCCTAGCAAGATGATGCCCTCAGAAGGCCCTGAACATCCAGCTTTGGAACAAATCATCTACCGCATAGTTTATCTTTCTTTTTAAACAAGAGAACCAAAAAATGTGTGTGTGTGAAGGGTTCATTCCTGACCTGTGGCGACTTAGCCCTGTTGGATCCTCTCGCTATTCTCCCTGTTTCTCTGTTCCATAGCATCCTCCCTGAAATACCCCCCAAAGAGAGTGATTTTGACTAAAATTTAATATACAAAGCACAGTAAATTCTTGGGGGAAATTGCTACAAAGGGGATAGACAGATGGGTGGGGTAGATGAGGCATTCATAAAGAAGAAACTAAACCCTCCAGAGACCTAGAGTACCATAACTGCATCCAGCATGCACCTTGGAAACGTGTAACCTTGAACAAGCCCACCAATCTCTCAGCCTCAGTTTCCTCAACTGTAACGTGCAAGGCTGGCTCTGCCCATCTGCCCAGGTTACTGTGAGAATAAAAGGATGTCAGGAAAGCACGCTGGAAAACAGGAAAAGTATTCTAGCAACGTGAGCTTTTTTTGCCACTGGGAGGCAGGAGGACATCTGTGTGAACCCTTGGGACCCTGACCGTTATTAGCCAGATTAAACGTCAGTTTTTCTTCCTCTTGTCACTGCCACAGCTGCCTGCCTCACAGGACGGGCCTGCAGCAAGGGAGTGGGGGCATGGGTCATTGAGCTCCCATGGCAGCCCCTCCGTTACCAGCTCCAGTCCCCTGGACCCTGGCATCAAGAGCCTCCAGAGGCAAGCCAGCCATGATGCATCCCATGGGTCCCTCCCCATGAGGGAAGCTCTGAGCCAGCATTGATAAGAGAAATTTTTTAAATTCCAGCTTTTTGCTGGTTAGTTTAGTAACCCCCTCACTTTCATTCAAGAGTGGGTGAGCAGTGATTTTACACGAGCTTCAAGGGCACAGCTAGTCAGTCTAGGATCATAAAGGACATTTGTAGGACCCAAAGTGCTTGCCTTGCCAGCCCCATTCTGGAAAACACTTCCATCACCTAGGATGGACCAGCATTTCACCAGAAACACAGCTTCCTTTTATGCTTTCTTTTTTTCCTTTTTTTGGTTTTGGTTGGCCGGGGCGGGTCTGAAGAACTAAAACCATAGCAGAACGGGGTCCCTCGTGGATAGGAAGGCTGACCCTGGGGGATAGGTGTCACCTTAGAGGAGAGTGACCCCCTGGATTTGCATATGGAGTTGAGTGTATTTCTTAATAAATGCTTGTGCTAAGCACTAGGAATAAAGGGAGGAATAAAATAATGTCATTTGTGCCATCATAGAACTTACCGTCTTGGGTGGGAGGCAAACGATAAACAAGAAAACAAACAAATATCCTCTAACCATAAATTGAGAAATGCTACGAAGGAAATAAATAGGGGGCTATGAGAGACAATAGTAGGGGTCGTACTGGAGATGAGGGGGTCAGGACAGGCCTCTCTGAGGAGCTGACATTTGGGCTCAGATACAGAGGAGGAGAAGGAATCACGTTATGAAAGGCGTAAAGAGCGTGTTCAGAACATGCGTGGTGTATTTGCGGAATCACGCAGGACTCCATCCATGTGTGTGTTTGTGTTTCTGTGTGTGTGTGTGAGAGAGAGAAAGGATGTGTCTGTGTGTGTGTGTTTATGTGTGAGAGAGAGAGAAAGGATGTGTATGTGTGTGCACACATGCCTACCCACGGCTGTATTTTTTCTGGGACGATGACCTATAACTTTCATCAGTTCTCCAACGGGATCAGTGATCCAAAAGAACTCTAAGGAATTTTCTGAATCAAAATTACCCTTAGTCAATCAGCTAAAGCATCCAAATAATTGTGCCAAATGATTTTTTTTTTTTTTTTGAGTCCTGGAAGCTCTGCATGCTAAAGCAGAAAGTGGAGCACACAGGGTGCCATTTCAGGTCTCTCTCCGAGAGCACGGGTGCAGGGCAAGTCTCCAAGTGATCGGTGTGCGACACAGCATCCGTGGTGACCGGGTGCATGAGTGCCCGGACGTGTTCGGAGGTTCGGTGGCCACAGGCATGCGAGTCCCTCTCTTTCTCTGCTGAGGGCCGGAGCCCCTGCTGTAAGGAGAGCACTGCAGGTCATCACAAGGATTAGTGAGTCACCAGCCTCTCTCCTGCCTGCAGGCTCCTCAATGCCAACAAGATCAACTGCCTACGGGTGAACACGTTTCAGGACCTGCAGAACCTCAACCTGCTCTCCCTATACGACAACAAGCTTCAGACCGTCAGCAAGGGGCTCTTTGCCCCTCTGCAGGCCATCCAGACTCTGTGAGTATGCCACCTCGAGTGCCAGCGCGTGCCCAGGCAGCCAGCAACCCCAAACACGTAGTCGCAGAGAACATTCAAAATGAAGGCAGAGTGAGCACGTCCAGGAGGAATCCTGGAGCCTGCAGCGAGAACGGGATATTAATAATAGCACTAGCTTGGGACCTCCCTGGCGGTCCAGTGGTTAAGGATCTGCGCTTTCAATGCAGGGGGCGTGGGTTTGATCCCTGGTCAGGGAACTACCATTTCCACATGCTGCATGGCTTGCCCAAGAAAAAACAATTTTTTTTTAAATCATAATAGGGCTAGCTCACCTGTACTAATCTCTCATACCATGCTCCGTGCCCCACTGGGTGATTTCCCTGTATCCAAACAGTTAAGCCTCACAACAGCCCTAGGAGGTAGGTGCTTTTGTGATCCCCCATTTCTATGTGAGGAAACCAGAGGCACGGAGAAGTTAAGTAACTTATTCAAGGTTGCACAACTAGTAAGAAGCAGGATTTGAATCCAGGCCGAGTGGCTGCTCACCTGCTCTTTTAACCACTGTGGCCACTGTATTCTGAGCAGGCTCCATCTCTGCTGATAACCCATTGCTGCCCACCAACACCCACAAAACCAAGCCTCTGGTACAGGCACACTGTACCAGAATACGGGAGTATTTCAACACCCTCGTTAGGGAAGAGTTCCTCACTCCCAAGCACTGCAGACGTTCATAAATAGTTCCGTTAGATAGATGACACCTGAGTATAGATCTCAGCCCGTGTTTTGGATGGCTCCACCCCTAAGCTTAGACCCTAGCTCCAGCCCCCGGCCTGACCATGAGCCTGGGGGCTTCTGGAGCCCTTCTGAGTCATCTGGAACTTACTGCCCCTGTAGCCAGAGACGGGAGCCAATAAAGGGTAAGAGCAGCTGCTACACATTGAACCCCGACCACGTGCTGAGCGCTGAGTGTGGTGCTTTGGACAGTTTTCTCACTGAGCCGGGGGAAGCCAGGCCCATGGTGTTGTTGCCCTTGTGATGCTGAGGATGGTAAGAACAAAACCCGCTACTATAAATGGAACACCCACCCTGTGCCCGACACCATGCCAGCTGCTTTATGTACCGGGTGTTCCTGAGCTTGGAGAAATAAAATTCAGTCTGCTCTCAGCATAAACCCTAAGCCTGCAACTTTCATTGCCCTTCAAAATTGGCGTGGGTGAGATTGGAGACGATCAGGGGTGGGTCCTGACCCAGGTGGGGAGAGTAAGGAAGGCTGATTCCCCAGGCGGGATGCCGGCTGCACCTGTGACTGTCTTTTGCAGACAGCAGACCTCAGGCCCCCTCTCCGGGTCTTGTCTGAGAGCAGCTTCCACCTCCCCCGAGGCCTCCTGCGGCGATGAAGGAGGGAGCCTGGCGCCAGAGCCTAGCACCAGGCAGGGGGGTGGCGGAACGTGGCACCAGGGGTCCCATCTGATTAACTCCCGTCCCTCTCGCAGCCACTTAGCCCAAAACCCATTTGTGTGCGACTGCCACTTGAAGTGGCTGGCCGACTACCTTCAGGACAACCCCATCGAGACCAGCGGGGCCCGCTGCAGCAGCCCGCGCCGGCTGGCCAACAAGCGCATCGGCCAGATCAAGAGCAAGAAGTTCCGCTGCTCAGGTAATCAGCTTATGGGGCAGGGCCCCACCTTCCGACTCAGAGTACAGCAGCCCCGGAGAGGCCAGTAATCCAATCTGGAGGACAGCGCGCGCTGTAATGGCTCCTGGGGATCATCTTTGCAAATTAAATTGGGAAAATTCAGTTAGCCCTGCAGAAAACCAATTAGCTTATGGATTTAAAATAAAACACACACACACAATAAAAGCATTGTGGGGAGGAAGGCGGGTGATTTGGGGAGAGACAGAACCCAGGCAGCAGCCCATCTCCCGAGCTAGGTGGAAATGAGGGGATGAGGCAGCCTGGACACATGCGATCTTGAGAGGCCATGATTTATTTATTTTGTATTGTTAGTTTCCAAATCACGCTCCCCAAGTGGCAGATAGAGAAATAAATATACCCCAGGCCAGGCTGCAGGAAGCATGGAGCCTTGGGGGCCTCCTCTCCCCCTCTATGGCCACCTTCGGTACAGCCCTTGGACCACAGTGTATTCTAGGTTTCACAGACGTTTTTGCTCTCTCCTCCACCCCAGATGGGTGCCTTCTGATCATGGAGAGAACAGCAAAGAGTGTTGCTCAGAAAGAAAGCAAAGCCTTGCTCTCTAGTTCCCAAGCTCTCTCCAGAAACCTTCCTCCCTACTGCACCCAGAAATGAAATGGGGAGGGGGGTTGGTGAATGGCAGGGGAATTCTCAGCTCATCTTGGAAAGAGAACTTGCTCTTCTTGATGCAAGAGCTGGATGAACAGGCAGTTAAAAATGACTATCATTTGTGTTGTTTGCTACTGGAAAAAAATCACCAAGCTGCTTTGTGCTCCCAATGGTGAGACGTTGATAGCATGATGTAGTGAGATGGGGTGAAGCCAACCCTCACAATCTGTGTGTCAGCAGGAACTGTTCTTCTCTCCCTGCCCGGAGCATCTTGTGTAGGTGGGTTTTCCTGGGGAGAAGGCTAGTGTCGGCCCTAGTCGCCGGGAGAAGACCGGCAGGCAGACCTCCACTTCTTTCACGTTGTTCTTGACCTCAAAGTCGGATTCTTCAGTCCGTGCCTCCAGAATGATCAGCCTGAGCTGTTTTATTTTTTTCACCAGAAGCAAATACCTTGAGAGGGCTTGGAGGGACCCCAGGGACTTTGCGGCAGTCTGAGACATTGATCTCAATTTGCCTTCCCCAGAATAACGATGTCGGTTACGAGAGCAGCTCCTTGCCGCGGATGAGCACTGTGCTCAGGGCTTCTAGTTTGACTCGGTTTTTCCAATAGTCCTGTGAGATGAGCAGGAGAAGTCCCCTTGCTGCAGCAGAGGGAGCTGAGGGCTCAGAGGTGAGGGGGCACCCCATGGTCACAGCAAGCAAACGGTAAAGGCAGGCTCGGACCCCAGGTCTGGCTCACTCCTCAACACCACGCGGCATGTAGGAGAGAAGGACCATTGGGGAAAGAGGTCCAGCTGCTTGGATGACTTCCTTCCCCAGCCTCACGGCCCCGCCCCCAACCTCAGGCCCTGAACTCTTTCCTTAAGTTCCCTCTTGGGGCCGCAGCATCTCAGGGAGGAAAATGCGCTCCCAGCCCAGAGCTGTGCCCTGAGGCACAACCGTCTTGTACCGGGTCCCTTTCCTCATGACTTACACCTCTTGCTCCTTCTGCCTCCTCTCTTCCTACCCATGTCTGGCTGGGGCTGAGTTAATTACCTCTAACAGCAGTTGTGCCCAAGAAGAGGGGTGATAAGAGGCCGAGGAGGGCAGGGTGCCATCTGCCATCCCTGATCCCTCAGTCTGGAGGCTGGTGGTGGGGTGGTCCCATCATGATCTCTAGATCCCGATTGATGCCAAGACCCTGGGGCATAGGGTGGGGACGAAATCAGCCCAGGGATCAGCCATTGCCTCGGAATGACTGTAGGCTGGGTTTGGGGATGAGGTACAGACAGAAGTAAGTAGGAGAAAGAGGAAAACAGCCAGTAGACCTAGAAACAGTAGAGCTTAGCTCTAGCTCTAGATCTGCCACTACCTACCTATCTTTGCACTGGAGGAACCCTGGCTTCTTTTCCTATGTGGGGTAGGAATGATTAGACATTTTAAAAAGACACAAATAAGGAAAAGGGACAGGGTTTCTGGATTGACCCTGTCTAAAAAAATTTTTATACATCAATACTAAACAGAAAGGTTATTCCTATAAAGGTAGAGAAAGTTAGAGCTGTGATGATCCTAACATATAACATTCTATATGCTCTTATTTTATGTAGCTACAGACAAGAGAGGTCAAGAGAGCTAGCTACTGGTGCACTCCAAAGGCCTTGGCTTTGAGAGGCACTGGGGCCCAGACCTGCTTAGCACTGAGGGATGCAGAAGCCATATCTCTAAAGCTCTGTGTTTCCAGGAAGCTCAAGAAGAAAGAAGGAGGGGCAGGTGACACGTACTGGATTTGACAGATAATAAGTCTGCTTTTTACTTTCCCCTAAAAGCACTCCCATTGCAAAGACAGCTGATGTAATTAGGAGCCAATTTGAGGGCTGCTCTTGCAACGCATAAAGCTCCTCCTTAGGCTGGGCATCTGGCTTCCCAGCTGCACTGTGTCTGCCTCTATCAGCTGTATCCGCCGCCCTGGGCAGCAAGATCGGGTTAGAGGTGAATGCTGCCGGCTGGGGTAATCTGACCATCAGATTAAGGCCTCCTCAAAAGGCACCATCTGGCTGCCTGAGACCCCAAGCCCGTCCTCGGGGGAGCACTTGGCGGTTGCAAAATGCTGTCTGCCTTCCGTCATGCCTCCCCCACTTTGTGTGTGGAGATCCAGTTGGCAAGAAGAAACTGGTGGTGAAGAGTACAGAGTGGTGTAACCCCTGTCCTCATCTGTACAAAGATGGCAAAGAGTAAGACACTTCTCAGGGAATCACAAAACTTTAGAGCCCCCAGAGATTACCCAGTCCATGCTAGAGAGGAAGAAAATGAGGTTCACACGGCAGTAAGTCTTATCTAAGATTATAGAGTGGTATTTTCAGGACAAGATTTGTAACCCAGGACTTCTGATATACTGAGAAGATTCTTGATAACTTTCTCCTGGGCCCCTCCATTTCTTTCTGTTGAAGGAAACCAAACAGAAGGAGGGGAATTTTAAAGCTTGGGGACAGGGGCATGAAAGGGCTGGATTTTCCCTGCACTGGTGCTGAGGACCTGATCAAACTTGAATACGAAATCCCCAAACCAGAGTGTTCGCAGAGCCCTGCCTGTCTGGAGGCGCTCAAAGCAGAGTTGAGTCTAAATTATAGTGGCCAGCTCTAGCCGGTCGGATGGGAGGGCTTAGCAGGAGGTGGAGCCAGATCCGGAGCTGTGGAGTGACTTGGACTAACCAGTCAGTCATCACAGATAACCTGTACACGTCAATGTGCTGCCACCACCTTGTCCTAAAAACACACTGTGGAGGAACGGTGACCCCGTCGCTCCTGTCAGAGGGCAGGGCAGTGAGGGTCCCAGTCTGGTCTCTTCAAGATGCCCTGACTCTGGTCTCTTCAAGATGCACACATCTCTTCACGGCTTGGGTGGAAATTCATAAAAACGGCCGCTGACCTTTTGCAGATAAGGGTGTAAAGGCTGGGCACCCTCCCTGGGCCCATGGCATCAAGAACAACTGGTTGTTGGTCTCCCCAGCCCACTCCATGATTTACAGTCATGGCGGAAGTCAGGAAGGACCCTAGAAGCTGGTATCCTCCACTTTCTTTCCTTTTCTTAGTTTGAAAGAGCCTCCTTGTCATGATCATTGTGACTGTGGGTTTCTCAGTCCCAAACCCAGGGCCCTGGGGCTTCCCCAACTTTCTCCCTGCTAGGAACATGTATTTTGTCTCAATGTCACACCCCTTCTCTACTATACCTTGATTGATCTGTGATGAACATCCGTCAGCCAGGGGTTTCTGGGGGCCTTGAAGGATACTGAGGAGACATCAGAGGGACTTTTTCTAAAGAAGAGCATTGCAGCTTTGCTAGACCACTAGGAACCGTGACCTGTCTCTTTACGGAAGGCGCCGGGGGAACAGCCTGTCACGGAACCACTCTGCTACGGGATGGGCCCTAGGCAGCAGACAATGCGGAAGATGCCTCTGCTAAGTTCGACGTCTTGGCACATCTAACGGTGTGATTGAATGGGGTTCAGAGGCTCAGTTCAGGCCTGCGAAACGATCCCAGACATTTGTGGTCATAATTCCCCTTGGGAAGGGTCTGTTCTACCCTGATACTCCTGAGTAGGGATGTCCAGTGGCCTCCCACCCGTTCTTCTCCCTTCCTCCTGTGTCTCTCCCGGGGCGGGGTGTGAAGGGCGGTAGGGCTCCTGTCTCCGGACGTGCTCCTGTGGAACCCCGCTCTCGGTACTAATCACGCTCAGTGGGGGCCTGCTCCGGCTTCCGCTTCTCCACGCTGCTTCCTCTGAGCGCTCCTGTCCTCTCTCTGACGCTGCTTCCTGACCTTGACTCTGACCAGTCGCCGCGGGGCTTTCCTTTGTGCTTGATCTAACCATGTGGTGGAACGATGGAAACGGAACATGGTTCTGTCAAGCACCGCGGAAAGCACCGCGCTCTCCTGCAGCATGGCCCGCCACCGCTGGACACCTCTTCTCTGCTCTGGAGCACCGCAGCCCACCACCCGCCAGACCCGCCTCTCTCGGTCCAGCCTCACGAAGGGTGGGGGCGGGTGGGAGTCTCGAAGGATTCACAGAGCACCTCCAACTCCAGGTAGCAGATCTGGGCTGAAATAGGGATGGGGAAGCGTACGGGGGACAAGCTGAGATCTGCATCCACGTCTCTATCCCAAATGGAGTTGCCATCCCCCAAATCTAGTCTGGATGCCAGCCAAGTGGTAAAGTAGCTAGGTCTGAGCTCAGACACCACTGTTTTTCTTCTTGAAGAGAACACGTATACCCAAGGCGTACGCCCTTTGTTTCATGGAAGAGTCCCAGCCCAAGGTCATTTTCCCACGTGGCAGTTAATGCAAAGCTCACACTGCTGGTACCCACCCTCCACCTACCACCTTTATTGGAAGCATTAGGACTTAATGTGAGCATGAGAATGATGAGACTGCCATGAGTCTGAGACACTGGATGTAACCTGAGGCTCCTTCTGGAACTGACCCCCTCTCCTCACAAGTACTTTGGTCCCCGTGCAGCCTAAAGTCCAAGCTGTCTCCTTGACCTTCTAAGCACAGTTAACATGAGGCGAAAGTGCTGGGCTCCTCAGTGGTGCTAGCTCAGTGCCATGTGGGGTCTGTGCGGAAGCCCACTGCCTCTGATAATAAAGAGAGGGGCGTCTCGGCACCTCCCGTGCTGCTTATTTCTTGATAAATCCTAGACCCAGTGTAACCGGAAGATTGTGTTGTTGGTTCATGCCGTGGAATGTGTGTGCTGTCCCATGTGAGAGAGGGCCCTGGCTTGAGCCAGGAGCCGGGCTCTGGGCTTCCATGGCGATGTGTGACTCTCACTGTCTCCTGTCTCTCGGGTTACCCCTCAGAGCCAGGGCCGCAGCCGTTGCTGAGGAATGGAGAGTCCTGTTTACCTCTCTGGATTCTTTTCTCACGGGCTTACTATGGACCGGGTGCTGAGCTAGTTTACATCCTCACCTTGTTTAATTTTCACAACAACCCTGTAAGTCCCATTCTGCAGATGAGAACATTGAGGCTCAGAGAGGCCAACTAACTTGCCCAGGGTCATTGGACTCCAGCACGGCTGCTCTTTACGACTGTAATCCTCAGTGTTCCCAGCTGCGGACAGGCCCATGGCCTTGAGTTATAAAATCAAAAAGACCTTGACTTGACTCGATAGGGAGTTGAAAAAAATAACACTCCCTTTCCAACTTCCTTCTGTTAATAGAAAATGACTTGAGCAAGAAAGAGAGCAAGCATCCCTGTTTACATGGCTCCTCCCCCCCAGCATGAATATACCAAGACCCATTTGGTACAGAACAAGTCCTCGGGCCTAGAGAAATTTTCTTTCCCTCTGAACAGAGAGGGCGTTCTGAGTTCCTCGGCACTGCTGCCACCGTGCCAGGGCCAGGCCTTCGGGAGTGGGTCCACAGGGTGCCCTTCCACGGGTGCCTCCCTGGTCCTCCGGCAGCTGGCTGTGACCAGGCAGTGACCGGATGCAGGCCATGGCCATTTCCCTCTGCTTCCAGGCAGATAGCTGCATTCATGTTAGACTCTGACAGGGAGAACTTACTAGGACAGCTGTCTGCCCAACCAATCTCCAAACTCCTGGTAAACAGTTGGTGTTTTCCAGCCAACTGGTGTCTGGTCCCCTGGCCTTTGCCAACGAGTGGATAACTGTGAACCTAGCAATGTTCTCTTGATTCCATTCATGACCTATAACCTTTGCTTGTCCTTTCAAGCTGAGGAGCCCCGGTAGGCCTCCTACTCCCCCCCCCAGTTCCTCTTTCTGCTCCTTTCCTCCTTCTTTCATCCCGCCCACCTTAGGGGTATTGGAGGTAGAAGAGGAGAACTCTGGACACGTGCGTTGGCAGGTCCTTGGTACTCTGATAACCGTGCATCTGTGACTTCCATTAAGCAAACTGGTTGCCCAGAGGATGATGCAAAATGCAGACTGCTAGTGACAGCAGCCATCCTGGGCCCAGCGCTGGCCTCTGCAGCCAAGTCCATCCAAAGGATGGGAGCTTTGACTCCCCACCTGCCCCAAGCCCCTGACCATCCAAACATTACATACATCCTCTCCTGGGAAGTGGCGGCAGGGCAGGGATTCATAATAAAACCGCATTGCTGTGGATTTCCACTCCCCTGGTCTATTGAAGTTTCTCTGTGCTCACGTCCCAAGTGTCGTCGTTCTGAGCTGCCCACCAAGGAGGAGGAGGGCTACGGGGGCAGGAGCAGGGGAGATGCCAGGTGACATCAGCTCTCCCAAGACCCATTTCAGCCGGCGTCTAGTTTTATGGCCCTTGTTCAAATCCTCCGAGATCTCTCCTGTCTGAACTCCCCTAAAGAGAAGAAGCAACGGCCTATTTCAGTTACTTCTCTCCTACTAAGTATTTCTGGCAGTGACAAATATGCATTGAGATTGAAATTGACTTTTAAAGCTCTGGAAAAGTTAAAAATACTTTTGGGTAGTTATGAGCATTAGGCATAACAAATGGCTCCGAGAAACCCTGAGTAGTTTGGGTAATGAAATATGAAGTGATGGAGGTGGCATTTCAGGCTGGCTCCGACTGGGGAACGCACTCTTTCGGTTTTGTACGTACGCCGTTATTAACATTTCTGGCTCCCACTCATATAAAATACCAAACTCCGATCCCCTCGTTATTACAAACCAGGGCAATAACAAAAACAGCAGGGGGGAAAATGTTGGAAAGAACACGTTAGTCCATCGAATCTAATTGCAAAATCATTTCATTAAAATGGGTCAGCGGCTCCATTGCACAGGTCGGCCAGTTATAATCTAAGTATACTACAGAGAGCGATTCCTGCTAACTACAGACGCTCTCACCTTGATTGAAACGAAAACGCATTTAATCGGCGGCTGTCCCCAGCCGCAGCCCAGCCGGTGCACATCTTCAGGCTCATCATGTTAGCGAGCAAACTGTGCCCCCTCCTGTCTTTCTGGCTTTGATCGCTCAGGGTTTCTCCGCTTTGCAAGGATCCCATCCTAGACACCTTCTCAAAGGAAAAACACGTGCATATGTACGAAAAGCCCCTTCACACCGTCACCGTGGGGAACCGCCGTGGGGAATGAGAGAGGGTTGTCATCTAGCAGGGTTTGCGCGATGAAATTCATCCAGGACTCAGCACGCTGATGCGTCGGTGGGTGGGGGGCCGGAAACAGCCCAGGTGAGAGTTATTCAGTGGGACGGATGCTGACAAGCCAAGGGCAAGAAATTTGCATAATGCACTGGACCAGGGAGCCGCCCAAGAAACCTGGGATACCTGCTTGGATTTTGCTCACACAAGCCTGCGGGTGGAAAGTGAGATGAAGGAGGGGAATGGGGAAGGAGCAAAGAGGGAAAGAGACAGGTCCAGGCCTTGACCTTCTGTTTTAGGTGGATGATGTCACTTCAGAATCAGAGACCCACCAAGTCCATCCCCAATCAGGCATTACCACGGGGAGAAAACGTGAGGAGTGAGAAACCAAGAGGGCAGTGGAGACATCTGCTTCCTGTCTCCCTGCAGCCCACTGAGGGAAAATGCCATTCAGTTCACCTCCACCAACTTGACTTTATGATCATTCCTAGGTCTGGGATTAAGGTTTTGTCCAAAAGCACATCTGCAGTAAAGCAAAGTATTAGTCACATGGGCCCTGGCAGCAGCCTGCCTGGGTTCGTTTCTCTGCCACGTCCTGAGTGACCTGCAGGCCTCAGTTTCCTCATCGATAACATGGAGTCACAATAGCCTCAGAGTGTTGTGAAGGTTTAATGGGCTCACGCATTTGCAGTTCAAAGAATAGTGCCCTGCTTGTGATCCACGCTCAGCACACACCAGCTATCATCACTCACTGTGCCGATGTTTTTACGGCTTCTGACACGCGCCAGATGTGCCACTAGGTGCCCCCGAAATCGAATCACAAACATCTGTACAACTCCTGACCCTTTTCCAGAGGCTCTCCACCACCTTGATCTTCCTCGAATCTTCACAGCCCCTGTGAGAGAGGGGCAATTTATGTGGTTTCCGTTTTACATGTGGAGAGATTGAGGCTAGTAAGTGGCAAAGCCTGGGCAAATCCAAGCCTTCTATGGCTAAAACCTCTGTACTGCAGATGCCCCGTTCTGCTCCTAATACACATAAGGTGGCCAAGGTCCACCTCCACTAGCCAGACAAACAAATGACCTTCACGTTCTCTGCAACACTGCAGAAATACGCACGTATGGAACAATTTATGTGCTAAGGACACCCCATTTATGTACTGGACAGACGTGAGCCAAGCTCTCGTGCCCGGCATTGTGCCGATGAACCGCTGAGGGTGAAAATAAAAGAGACCCGACCCCCATCAACTAGCTCGTGTCTGATAGGAGAACCAGAGCTTCCCTTTTATTTCGGGCAAGGTTTGTAGTCTCACAGAGGTTCGCCCAGGTGCCAGGGGATCATTTCTGATCATTAAAGCAGCTCCTCGGGGCATCTCTCAAGACGGCACATCATTGGCCCTGTTACCATTACTGTGTATGTAACCTCCAGAAAAATTCGATTTCAGACATTAATCTTAGCTCCAACTACCTTTAGCTCATTGGAACTGGCTTTTCACTGTAGTTAAACAGAGCTTCCTCTCAAAGGCAGCAGGTACATCTAACCCTCGCAAGAGTTGTACTTGTCTTTACAGTGTTTTACATTTGAATTCATCACCAATATTTTTTTAAAAGAATTATCAGGCAACCCTGAGCCAAAATCCCAAACGTTAAGGCAGTGGGCTTCAATTCCCCAGGACCACAACCCCCATGATTGCTTCCCAATAATGAAACCAGGTGTCAAGGCTATTGATTGATTGCCATGTGCTGGGCCCCCTTTATCGTTTCATTACCTGCTTTGTCCCTGAAGACAGCTGAGTTTATGACCCTCTTCCCTGACCTCATTCCCACCCCTGGCATAGCTCCCATCAAAATCTCTTCATTTGGATTTTCATGAATATTTAGAGGGCCCATGGATCATGGGCATCATGGACTAAGTACCCCCCGTAAATCGTATACCAAATTCTGTACAGGGACCTCAAAAAGGTCCATGACCCACAGAAACTTAAGAGCCCACGGAGCTTGTGGCATTAGATGGAAAGTGATGAATGACAAAGACCAAAGGGAGAGCAAGCAGCCTGGAGGCTGGGGTGCGGGGAAGGCAGAGCAAGGTGGCCAAAAAATGAGGGCAATGCTGCCTCTGTCACTGGGCCATCCCCCTGCCCCGTGTCTCCCCATCTCCAGTGCCCACAACCTCGCCCCATGCCGGACCGGCTGCCACTGACGCCCCCTCTTTGGCGCCCCCCAGGCTCGGAGGATTACCGCAGCAGGTTCAGCAGCGAGTGCTTCATGGACCTCGTGTGCCCGGACAGGTGCCGCTGCGAGGGCACCATCGTGGACTGCTCCAACCAGAAGCTGGCCCGTGTCCCAAGCCACCTCCCCGAATACGTCACCGACCTGTGAGTGCTGCCCAGGCGGGAGCCCCTGCACGTCCCCGCGCCCAGTCTCCCTGAGCCAGCCAGGGTGGGTGTGGGCTCCTAGAGGTGGCCCCCTCCCGGCTCAGTCACCTGGGTGTTCCTTGGTGCCCCCTGCGTCCCAGGATGAGGGCAGACTCCCCCAAGCATCCGCGGGGGACAGCTTGCTCAGAAATAAAGACAGCTCATTCATTCTATTGATACAAAGATTTTCCGAACACCCGCTGCGAGCCAGGCGCTGTGCCAGGCCCACCCTTTTCCACGGTGAACTAAGCAGACCACCCCTCGTAGCCCTTAGGGAGCTTACAACATAACCGGAAAGATGGATAGCGCATAAATGACTGACCTAAAGTGAAAAAACAGCTAGGACGATCAGGTGTATCTGCGCCTCTGGTTATCCATGCTAATAAAGAGGCATGTTGGTTTATCCAGAAGTGGCTCAAAGTTACAGCATGGGGTGGGGGGCAGGGGTGACGGATCTGGGCCTGACTCCTGTCGTCTCCAGTTTTCCTGAGGTTGGGCAAGTTGCTTCTCAGATCTGAGCATCAGATTCTGAGCTATAGAATAGAGGTGTTAATACCTACCTCCTACGGGGGTTACAAAGATTAGGTAAGAGGATGCGAGCACAGACTTTATCTTGAATCCTGGCATGGACTAAGCCCTGCATAAATGACGGTGGTCTTTATTTATTATTATTATTATTATTATTATTATTATTATTATTATTATTATATTTGACTCTCTCCTGCTCTCCCTGAGCTTACATGAATGTTGGGCGTGGAGTCCCTGAGCTGCCCTTAGCAGAGGGATGTGGTCAGGAAAGACCTGAGTGGCTTGGAGAGTTGGAAGAACCTGGGGAAACCTCCCTGGGGGTTTAAGTGGTCATTGGTACCCCTACAAAATGAAGGCAAATCATTGGCACTTGACTGTTAAGTGCTGAGCGTTCAAAAAGTTGAATATGCCTCCGGCAGAGGGTCTTCCTCTCCTTTCTGGCCCCTTCTCACACCCGTCCTCTCGCTGCTGGGCCCCCCATGCTGATGGGGTACACGGAGGGTTTCTATGGTGCTATTGACCTGGACTGAGTGAGGTCCAGGTGGCAATTCAGCTGAAGCCACGGGGGGATGGGGCACCAATGGAGGAGGTGCCCCATCTACAGCTCACCCACTGCCTCATCTGCTTGCTTCCCATGTAGCCGACTGAACGACAATGAGATATCTGTTCTAGAGGCCACTGGTATCTTCAAGAAGTTGCCCAACCTGCGGAAAATGTAAGTCAGTCTCAGGAATATGGCAGACCAGAGCAGAACACCAGGGCACGGGCGGGTCCCTCTCCCTCCACTGCAGCCCCTCCCAGTCTCCTCCTGACCCCGCTATGGGCACGTCCTGGGAAGCAAGACACTAAGGCAGGACCATGCAGAGGCAGAGCACGCATTTTGCACCATCCCTGACCCTCACCCCATCCTTGCTCACCCCCATCCCCCACCCCACACCCAATGTCTACCCCAGTGGGTGGTCGGAGGGACTCAGGTGAGGACCAGCAATGGGACATGGGGATCTAGGGTGCACATCACTTAGTAATTTTTATGAGGTAACAGTCAGAAGGTCTATTTTTAGATGGACCCTAAAGGCCTCCACATGGTTGAGACACACTGGAGCGGAGACACCACAGCTGCCTCACCTCCTTCATCTGTAAGCACGCTGGTGCACAGCTGGCCTTGCTTCCCCCTCCCCTTCCCATCCCAGGTGTGCCAGCAAAGGTACCAGCATGGACAGGGGGCTCTTTGCCATCTAATTCCCTTCTCCTTGACCCTGCTCCCCACTCCCACCCCATCCTCCACATGTCCCAGCCCCAGAGTTTGAGTCTGCCTCTGGAACAAAGGAAAACGGTCAAGCCTCATTATTCATAGACCCTGTATTTGCTGATTCGCTTACTCACTAACATTTATGTGTAATCTCAGAATCAATACGCACAGTGCTTTCATGGTCATTCATATACATAGACAGGGCAGCAAAAAATTTGAGTCCTCCTACATGCACATCCCCAGCTGAAATCGAACAAGGCCACGTTCTGATTTCTTGTTTCAGCTCCCAGACTGTAAACAAGTGTCCAATCCACAATATATTTAGTGCCACATTTCTTTTTTTGCATGTTTGTGCTTTTGTGGGTGATTTCACTGTTTAAAATGGCCCCGTAGCATAGCACTGGAGGGCTGTCTAGTGATCCTAAGCATGGGAAGGCTGTGATGTGCCTTACGGAGAAAATACGTGTTACATAAGCTTTGTTCAGGCAAGAGTTATAGTGCTGTTGGCTGTGAGTGCAATGTAAATAAATCAACAATATATATTCAATAAGATGTCTTTAAACAGAAACATGCATCAAACAAGGTTAGGTATTGATCGGTTAATGAAAATGGTGACCAGAGGCTCCCCTAGGAGCAGTGGTTCAGCATTCACTAATTCATCTTGCCCAGTGACTTTGTAGAGCTTAACCACGATGAATAATGAGAATTAATTGTAACCCTTATTTTATTTTGCTCTCCACTCTTCCACCCATCAGTCCCTTGCAGGCAAGAAGGAGAGAGACCTTCCCCTGCCCTGGGCAGCATCTGGATCGCATCAGTGCTATTCCCTCCCTGCCCACAGTTGCCACCTTGGCCACTGCCTCAGGGACAACTCTGTAACTGAGAGCAGTGGAGGGAGGACACACATGGATCCTGGTGAGGTTCACGGCTGTCCGAGTGGTCAAGCCCACCTCTAGCTTCAGGAACCCAGCACAGACATCACCCATCACCTGTCAGGAGATGTCCTTTTAAATTCAACCCCCGAAAATGCATACTTTTTTTAACCTCAAAACAAATTTACATGCACATGGAGATAAGGCATGTATTAAAACAAGTAAAGCTGGCCAAGTGCATATTTGCACAGTAAACAGGATCAAGTAGTCTTTGCTTCCGTGCAGAAATGTGCGCTCTCCCATTTTAGGTGAAACTCAAGCGCTCTGAGTCTTTCATCTTCCTAGTTTTCACAGGGACCTGAGTATGAAGAACTGTTTCTGTACACCAACAAAAACAACAGCACAAATGCAATGATAAGTCGCAGCCAACTCCCAGCCTCAGCATCCAAGCCACAAAAGGGAGTGGTGCGGACTGTGGCAAAATGTAGGCCGAGTCCTCACGAAAAGGGGCAGATGTCACTAAGTTCCTCCCAGCATCTGCCATACTGGAAGGAAGGTCAGAGCTGCCAAATATTCCCTTCACGGGAGCAGCTGGAAATCCAGGTATGGCGGAAGAACAGGCAGGCCGGCATTTGTTCTGAGTTCAGCTCTGCCCCACGCCTGCTGTGTGACCCTAGGAATGCCCTTAGCCTTTCTGGGCCTTTCATAATGGAAACAAGTCCACCTTCCTTGTAAGGTGTGATGAGGACCAGAAGTAAGTATAAGAGATAAGGGGAAAGACATGGCCTCTGTCCATGGGACCGCGGTGAGAAGGTGCTGGAAGAAAGAAAGAGGACATCTAGGTCAAGTGACCCAGAGCAGATGGCTAGACATTTAAAACAGGAGTTACAAACTCAAATGCCTTCAGGACCCCCTGTGGAAAGGGAATGGGTGCAAGGCAGCAATAATAATAATGGCGACAAACAGTTACTAAACACTTTACTCTGTGCGCCAGACTCTGCTGATATTCAGGCAACTACCCCTCACCAAGAAAAACAAAACAGCTTTGAGATTGCTTCATTTTACAAATGAGGAAGCTGAAACACAGGAAGTAACCTGCCAAGTTTAAAAGTCAAGCCAGGAGTGGTGACAGTGCAGAGTAGCTGGGGAGCGCACGCACCACCTGAAGGCAGTAAGCGCACGTGTGTGCACGTGTGTGTGCCTAAATCCAGGTACATATAATGCCAGCCAACCAAGCACGTGTCCCAATAGGGCAGATCTGGTCCCAAAGACCACCAGCTGCAACCACTTATTTAAAATAACTTGATGGCGACTCTTTTTAAGTAAACAGCCCTTATTTGCTAGGACCCGTCACCACCCCTACACTCCCATGAGGTGATGGGTCAGCTGGAATTCTGCCCATCAGGGTGGTTAAAGCCAGCAGTGCCTGTGACCGAGGCTGCTCAGCTTCCTCAGGGACTGTGGAGCCAGGGCCCTAAGGTTACAGTCCGGACGGCAGCACCCCGACAGGGCACGGAGGCAGAGGGGAGTGGACACACGGCCAGGAGTTTGGACTCTGCGGTGCCTTTCCAGACTGTTCTGAACCTCTGTGCCCCTTCCTGTCATGTGGGAATAATGAGATTTCATAAGTATCACTAAGGGATGCAAAAAGAGGTGTGAGCTGTTCCCCACAAAGGTTATTAGGACTGTGGTAACTCAAGGTAGCTTTTCAAGTGACCTCCCATTCAGAGTGGGGTCACGGCCTCTCTCGGGCCAACTTTCAGGTCACTTCTTACGCTGAAGGAGCATCTCAAGCAGAAGCTGAAACCTAGCACCCCTCTAGCCAAAATCAAATCCCATGGGTGGATTTGGTGGTCGTGTTTTTTTGCTTTGGTTTCTTTTTACCATCTTTATTGGAGTATAATTGCTTTACAATGGTGTGTTAGTTTCTGCTGTATAACAAAGTGAATCAGCTATACCTATACATATATCCCCATATCTCCTCCCTCTTGCGTCTCCCTCCCACCGTCCCTGTCCCACCCCTCTAGGTGACTAGGTGGTCACAAAGCACTGAGCTGATCTATTTTACGTTTGGTAGTGTATATAAGTCCATGCCACTCTCTCACTTCATCCCAGCTTATCCTTCCCTCTCCCTGTGTCCTCAAGTCCACTCTCTATGTCTGCATCTTTATTCCTGTCCTGCCCCTAGGTTCTTCAGAACCATTTTTTTTTTTAGATCCTGTATATATGTGTTAGCAGACCATATTTGTTTTTCTCTTTCTGACTTACTTTACTCTGTATGACAGATTCTAGGTCCATGATGGTTGTGTTTTTAATAAGTAGTTGCCCTCTTTTAAAAATCAGGAGTTTCCACAGAAAAATAACTGTGGATTTCTAGCCCTTTGGGAAAATCAGAGGATCTGGCAAAACTGAGCCCATGTTTCCAAACGGCTCCAGTCGAGTTGAGCTGAGGAACGGCTGCCCCCTAGCTGGGCCACGTGCTTTCCTGATCACTGCCGTCCCCACTGGGCTTGCTTCCAATTTTAGGTCACCTGCCTGGACCCTGTGGACGTTTGAGCTTGTAACCCCAGCTCAAAGTAGAATTTCCACCTCAGGGGGCCGGAGAGGTCCATAAGGGAGGTAGGCAGGACCTCCCCGACCTGACAGGGTGCCAGTGTGCTGCTCAATCATGACCCGGTATCCTCGGCTTCCAGAAAACTCCACTTAGCTCTCTCCCAACTGTATTTCCATTGAGGACTGGACTTTTAAACAGGATTACAGATGCTTCTCTGTTGCCAGAGTTTATGGGCTGTCCTACAAACCTGAAGAGACAGAGACCTAGAAGAAATCCAGGCTCACCTCTTCAGACTCAGGCTTTCCAGAGATGAATCCCCCAGCCTCCAGGGGCCTTGGTGTTTCTTGGGAACAATGAGAACAGGTTCTGAAAGGTACACCCAGCAGTTTGCCAAGGCAGCGTGGCCGAGCACTGGGTTTGCCCTGCCGTGGACCACTCTGAGCCAGCCCTGGCCTAGGGTGGGTGTTTCTGAGGCTGGGTCCTTTCAGATGTGAGATTCCCATCCTCACTGGAGTCAAAGCCATGATGAAGCAGTAATCCTTCAGGTGGGTCTGCAGAGACAAAAATGGAGAGAGGCTCAGTGCCCTTAGTTTTGCGTTTGGAGGTTTCCTGGGATCTGGGGGCATCTTCAGGAAGATACTGCTCTGAGAATAAGATGGAGCCCTTACAAAACCCTGAGGCACTGGTTTTGTGTCTGGAGCGCTTGCCCCAAGCTGCTGTCTCTCTGTCCTCCGGCCCAAGCTGCCTGCAGTTTTGTGTGGTGCTTTGATGGATGGAGAGAGATCAGCAGCCTGGTCTTCTGGAAAATTCTATCCCCTTTTTTCACTCTCCTTATGTTTTCCATTCTCCCAGCCCAAGGAAATCCAGTTCGCAAACCTTACAGTAATGTGATGTTAATTCTGCTCGTTTAAAGAAAAAGATGTCAGGAAATGGGAACCTCCCACTTCTTATAGCTGCTGTAACTCATCTTCATTGCCCACCCCATGTACTTCAGTTCCCCAAGAAGCCTAACTCTTTTGAGCTGGAGGAGAAGCTCCAGCATTTGGATGAGTTATAGCTGCTGGGAAAGTCTTTCTCTCTCCTCCCATGTCGAACTTGGGGGTAATTTGCAGTCTCCCCTGTGTATTGCCTTCATTTCCGAGTTATCGTGGACCAGGGCTACCAGGATTTATAAGACGACCGGCTGAGTTGCAAGAGAGTCAGGCAGGGAGCAGAAATCCAGTTTGAGAATCTCCCAGCTCTGTCAGATCTCAGGGGAGGGATTCTGAGGGGTATTTGCACCTGTTTTCTCAGCAGGATGGAGGAGGGAGGCGAGGAAGGCCGTGACCAGGAGCACAGACGGAGCAGACAATGCGAGGCTGGGAACTGTTTCCTCCACACCCGCCCACAGGTGTGGGCATTGCCACCCCCGCACACCCAGTCCCTATTTGGGAAGAGGGCAGGCAGGCAACCTGTATCGAGCCCTTGGGTGCCCAGTTGAACTTTACTTGCTCTGAACCATCCCTATAGGAGGCTTCACCCCCAGGGGTGCGTGAGTCAGGCCAGAGCTGCACAAGGAGGGCACTTGAGAGAAGCAGTAGTACCAGGGACTCATGGAGCGCTATGTCCCTTTCAGTGCTCTGTGACCAGGAGCAGTGGCCTCCCCTCCCTGGGCCTCAGTATGTCCAGCAGTACAATGGGCCAGCTGGTCCATCTCTCCTGAGCCCTCAGTTCTAACAAGCTCAGGGTGCTCAGCCAGTTAGCAGCTGTGTCTCCACCTACGGGTCTCCTGTTCACAGAAAAAGGCCCCCCAGGATGTTTGCTGGAGAAGCTGGATTCTTCCCGCAGCTTTTGTAACTCCATCACTTGCTGCTCCAGCCAGCCAGCTGGGGCTGCCTTTCAGGCCTGAACATTTGGGTGGTCTGTGGAGACCCCCGGCCGCTAGCAGCACCTATAGTTCTGCAGGACGTGCTTGCTGTTCAGTTATCCCATCCAGCCTGCCGCGTGGTGGCTGGGGGTCGGAGGGAAGAGCCCGCTCTCAGAGCTCGAGGGCAGTATTGGAAATGGCAGCACCGAGACTTGAAAGGACCGAGCCCACTTAGGAAAACACAACGTTCCAAATCCTGAATTCTGCAGAGCAGTAATAGAAGGGATGGGCATCCACATCGTCAAAGGAACATTCACTTGGGAAAAGTGGTTCACTGGAGACTTTTCTATGTGCCCAAGAGCATGGTCTCCGATCCCAGTGCTATCAGCTGTGTGACTGTGGGTAGGTTACTGAGTCTCTCTGAACCTCAGTCATCTCATCCATAAAACAGGACAATGATAAAAATAATGCCCATCTGATGGGCGTTGTTTTGAGGATTTGATGTGATTCTGTTGGTCAAACCCCTCACGTGGTGCCTAGTACATAATAAGTGCACAAACTGTAGTAACTAGAAAGGGTCCATTTATATCAGGGATCTCAGATGGTGAAAGAGTCGAAGGTTCTACAAATGCCTCACCCCGTAGGGAGCAGGCATGTTTTCTATTTTCCTCCAGCTCTCCTCTTGAGAATCACTACTTAGAGTATCTGTGGAAGAGAGAAAATAAGTTTGAGAACCATTCGAAACCTGCCAGTCCCCAGGGCATTGAAAAGACAATTGTACTGAAAGACTTCAGATGCTACACAGTCTGTTTCACACAGGTAGTCCACCCATCCACACCCCATGGGGGTGCTGGGCTCCCTGCTTCCTGAGGCACAGGTGCTGAAGACCAAACATAGGGAAGCCCAAGGTGGAGCCTCCACCAGCCAGTCCTCGGGCCAGGGGGCACTTTAGAGTCCCCAGCTGGCTGCAGGGCCAGCCATTCCCTCCCTGCGTCCTGACCTGTTCTGTCCCCTCCTTCCAGAAACTTGAGTAACAATAGGATCAAGGAGGTGAGAGAGGGTGCCTTTGATGGAGCGGCCAGCCTGCAGGAGCTGATGCTGACGGGGAACCAGCTGGAAACAGTGCATGGGCGCGTGTTCCGTGGCCTCAGCGGCCTCAAGACCTTGTGAGTTCCCGGGGCCTGGGCCAAGGCCAGAGTGGGGGAGATGGGAGAGCAGGGGCATCAGAGGGGCTGTGAGGGCTGGCGGGCAGCGGACTAGGCCCGGGCGCTGTCCTGGCCTGCTGAATCCTGGAGCCGGAGAGACATTAGACATTTCCAAGCCCTGGATGGGAAAGAACTTGGCATGCTAAGCACCCCCCAACACACACACACACACACACACACACACACACACACTAAAAGACACTAGCCCTAGTGTATACACAGGTGTAGATTCATACCAGAAACAGGCACACACACACACACGTACACAAACATAGGCATTACACATGTACATGAAAATGGCATATAGACACACATGCAACGTGTGGATATACACAAACAAGCATGTGCATATAAGCGCACACACATACACACAAGCTGATGTCCACAGCCACATCTTGATTCTTCCCTCTCCTCCCCAAACTATACATACAGACACTAACCACCATACCATATACATATGTACACGTACACATGCATGACACCTGCTTCTACTGTAAATACAGCATCTGTAGCCAAGAACGTGCATACACATGTACAGCTAGCCCCAGTGGGGACCCAGGCCCAGCTATCACAGGACAAACCTCAGCAATGTGACTCGTCTGAGCTTGGATTTGGCAAAAGCATCCCAACACACACACACACACGCACGCACACACGCACACACACCAGTGTGGCACAGTCATAGGAGGGAAAGGATGACACCCGTGTTTGCTCACCCCACCCCTCTCCCTGCAGGATGCTGAGGAGTAACCTGATCAGCTGTGTGAGCAATGACACCTTTGCTGGCCTGAGTTCAGTGAGGCTGCTGTCCCTCTACGACAATCGGATCACCACCATCACCCCCGGAGCCTTCACCACGCTTGTCTCCCTGTCCACCATGTAAGTCCCCCTGGACCAATGGCGCACTCATTCAGGGCTCCTCCCCTGCAGACCTCTCCTCTCACAACACCCTACTATATTTGGCCCAAGGTCATCTATCCATCTGTCAACTTAAACACTTGGCAGCCTCCCTCCATGTGCCAGGCACCATTTGCTACTGAGGATTCACAGACGTGGACCCTCCTTCCTGGAGCTCACAGCATAGCGAGTTGCCACAGAAGGGAGGTCCACAGTGATATGAGAGCCTAACGTAGGCTTTGTCGAGCAACACTGGAGCTATGCTCTGGAAGATGAGTGGGAGTTGGCTTGTTTGCGAAAGCAGGAAGTGTATTTCTTTCGGCGGGAAGAGCATGTGCAAAGGCCCTGTGCTAGGTTGAAGCAGAGAAGATATGCAGGACTGAGCAAAGTCCAATGTGATCATAGTACAGAGTGGGCAAGGCTGGAGTGGAGACCAGGGCCAGGCTACAGGACCGCCGTGGGCCATTTTGGTCTTTATCCAAAACACATCAGGAAGCCACAGAAGGTTTTAAGCAGGCCAGTGACGTGACGTGACGGGGGTTTTAAATTGATGTCACTGACTGCTTAAACGTGTATCAGAACCAGTTAGAATCTAGCTTTCTGGACGAATATCTCTGCCCACAATATTCACTGTATTGGTAAGGGAGGCTGTTTAGAATAATGGTGAAAGCTTTGGGCTCTAGAGCCAGATTTTCTGGGTCCATATCCTGGCTTTACCTCCTGTTAGCTGTGTGCCTTGGAAGAGTTACTTCATCTCTCTGTGCTTTAATTGTCCCTTCTCATAATCCACCTCGTAGGATTATTATGAGGACTGAATTTGTTAATATTGGTAAAATGCACAGCAGGGGCCTGAGATATAAAAAGCACTCAGCACATGTTGGCTTTTACGGTTTCTCATAGGATTTCTATGGGGCTCTGTCACCCTTAGTTGGTGGTTCATTTTTCCTTCCCTTCCCTTCTCCAAAGACCCTTGGGAAGACGGAAGAGAAAGGCCATTGCTGCATCTCCTGTTGCTGCCCGTGGTCCTGCTCCCATACAGCCACCCCACTGGCGATAAAAGCCAAAGTTACAGAACGTCCTAAAGGCCCCATGCCGTCTAGCCCCTCAGAACCTCCTTGCATCCCAGCCCCGCTGACCTCATTGCTCTGTGCACGCCCCAGGCCCACTTCCACCTTAGGACTTTGCACTGGCTGTTCCCACTACCCGGAAAGCCCTCCCCCTGGCTCCCTGCCCTCCTATTATTTGCTCAAACGTCAGTTGCCTCAGCCCCATTCCACCCCTCTGCTATCACCCCCAGTTCTTCCAGCCTTGCTCTTCTAATTTTTTCCATAGCACTGACCATTTCCTAACATACTATACTTTTTGTTGTTAATTATATGTTGTCTGCCTCCCATCAGCTGGAGCATATGTTCCAGAAGGATGAAGTATGGGGATATATGACTGTTTTGTTCACGCCTGTATCCTCAGTGCCTACACCTGAGCCTGGCACTAAGCCCATTATATAATGGTTGAATAAGTGGATGAGTTGAATGAATGAGTGACATGAAGATAGAGGACAGTGAGTTAGAACTAGCATGGGTGGGTTGGTTGATCTCAGCCCACTTCTCACCCCTCCTGGATGCCTCTGCACTGGGAATCCAAAGACACGAAAGATGCCAAGAGGGCTAGCGTCACAAAGCATGAAGGGAACCAGCTCCGACAGGGAAAGGAACTTGCCCACCTTCTCACAGCTACTGAGTGTCGGAGCCAGAATCAACCCCAGGAAGGACTGACTCCCGAGACCTTAATTGCCATGTCAAACCGCAGCCCCTCAAGGGCTCTCCAGCCCTCTTCTGTAACCTCCCTAAGTTTTACATTACTCATTTGTGAGATGAGAATACTGTCCCCTCGTTCCTAGGGTTGCTGTGACAAGTCTGAATGAGAAAATGGATTATAAAGCGCTCAGCCCAGTTCCTGTCCTCTAGAAAACCCTCAGAAAGTGATAGCTGCCCTCATCCCTCCATCTGTCCCATCACTGCATCTGACAGATTCGTATAAAGTGCCTATGCCGATGTCCTGCTAGCTCCTGGAGACACAGAGCAGGACAGACAGACCTGGTCCCTCCCCTCCGGGAATTGGGAGTCCAAGGAGGGAGGGGTTCCCAGCTCGGATGGATACTGTGGAGGAAATGACAGGGGAGAACGGGACCGGGCAGAACTTTTCATTTCCCTTGAGATGAGGGGCTTCTTTAAGGAGGGGTCATTTAAGCTGAGGGCTGAAGGAAGAGGAGGGGCCACCCAGGCACACCGTAGAGAAATTCATCCCCGGCGGGAGGAGCAGCACACGTGAAGGCGCTAAGTGTAAGAAAGTCTCTGCGGCGGAATTGAGGCAGTTCACACAGCTGTAGCTCATCAAACAAAGGAGAGCACGGATGGCGACTGTATCCATCCGCGGAGGTCTGGAATGAGACCCTTGCAAAGACTGCCTCCGGGTTTTAGAAGAGAGCCTGCCTTCCTCTTCCCAGACCTTCTACCTCCTTCGTCCTTTCTCCTTCCCCTGAACCGGAAGCAGACCTGCCTGGAGAGCCAGGCCCTAGGCTTGCAGACCTGGATCCCAGGACCAGCTCCCACGGGATAAGGGTAGAGGCTAACCATTCAGAGAGGGCCCTTCTCTCCTCCCAGAAACCTCCTGTCCAACCCCTTCAACTGCAACTGCCACCTGGCCTGGCTCGGCAAGTGGTTGAGGAAGAGGCGAATCGTAAGTGGGAACCCCCGGTGCCAGAAGCCCTTCTTCCTCAAGGAGATTCCCATCCAGGACGTGGCCATCCAGGACTTCACCTGTGAAGGTAAGAAGGCTGGGGGCGGGGCAGGGGAGCAACACCTGGGAAGACAAGGACGCTACAAGAGAAAAGAGGTGCAGGCAGGCGGTAACTGCAGGTCAGGACCCCCCGAGATCTGATTCTCCTCTGCCCTCAGCATGCAGCCCGAGCTCTGGAGGGCTCTGCAGGCCTGCTTCTAGCCCACATGGCTCTGTCGTGCAAATTAAGAACAGGTGCCTCTTTCTACAGACATTTGACCTCCATCAGTCAGAAATCTGTCATAATATACTGCTTTTGTTAAAACGAGGTACTTTACAGCCATCTGTGAAGACACTGTTGTACCAAATATCTTAATCTGCCGTATCCACAGTGAGGTTGGCGCCCATTAGATGGTGGGGCACCCTTGTGCAGTACGCTACCTACACAACTGTACATGGGAGCCCTGGGCCGAAGTTTTCCTGCCTGCATCATCATGAGGCTGAGAGTATGTGCTCATGAGAAACAGACTTCAAGATGAGCTTCTGGGAAATTCCTGGCTAGGCAGTACGAATACCTGAAGATTCAAGGCTTTGAGTGTCAGGATTCCAGAGGGCATATTTGTTTGCATAAATTCAAGCCAGCACAATCTTTACTTGGTCAACTTTAGGTTATCTAGAGACGGATGAACTGGTTTGTAGATTAACTGAGGTTAAGGTGTAATGGGGGCTGGGGACACATTGACCACGCCAGAGGGATTGTATAGTGGAAGGTGTGGAGAGAGGGAGGAGAAGGAGGGTAGTAGATAGGGCCCTGCCCCTACCCTGACCTCTCCTTCAGTCGATTTGGCTTATCCAGATCTGGTTAACAGTAACCTCTTCCATATCTAACACCTGGTTAATGAAGTTTTTAGCGTCTTTGTTTTATGTTAAATGTGGTAGAAGATGGGCAGCCCTATTCCCCAGCCCAGGTGCATCTTCTTTCCCTTCCAATCACGGATAAGACCAGCAAGCTCCTCATTCCCAGTTGTGGCTCGGAGCGGAGGGCTTCCCTTTCCTGCAGGCAGCTGGGTCAGGGAATGGGCCTCGCAGCCCTGCGCCATGCTCACTCCCCGGCTCTCCACAGGCAATGATGAAAGCAGCTGCCGGCTGGGGCCGCGCTGCCCCGAGCAGTGCACCTGCATGGAGACGGTGGTGCGATGCAGCAACAAGGGGCTCCGCACCCTCCCCAAAGGCATCCCCAAGGACGTGACGGAGCTGTAAGTACCGACACCCCGTACTCCCGCCACTACGGGCATCTGTCACACTTCACCCCTGCAAGCAAGACCGCCTGGGGATGCCCTACCTGAATGGGTCCCAGCAAGGTGGTGTCAGAGCCTCAGCAGGGGGCAGGCAGCAGCTTGCACACAGGGGCAGGAAGCTCCCCTCCCCAAGCCTCTGCCTGGCAGGTGACGAGTATCTAGAATACAAGTGGGAGGGCTGTTGTCTCGTTTTCTCTATCACCTCCAGTCCCCTGCTCTGCGCCGTGCCTTTTAGATTCCCACATAGTCCCTCAGTCTGACACCAGAAACAGCACAGGATAATCGTCAAAACATGGGCCCCCAGGCACTATGGCTTAGCAAGCGCTTCTACAAATAGGATCCTGTTCTACCTTAAAAACACCCATTTTACAGATGAGATCTTAATTCTGGGTTCTGCTCACTCTTCACCCAGGAGCCTTCTTATTCCATAGGCCAGGCTCCTGACACTAACTCCTCAGGGGTTCCTCCTGCCCCGGAAGCTCCCAGTTAAATGAAAGAGAGGCCCTTCTCTTCATGAAGGGCTCTTACTATTGTGGATAAAACGTTATTTCTGCCCCCGGGGAAGCTCAAAGAGTCCCACAGGCAGGGAGGCCTCTCGAGAATGTCCCAGGAGCTGTGCAGCTGCGGCCGGGTAAGCACCACGCACTGGCACAGGCATGCAAGCCACGTTCAGTCTCCCATTCATTCACTCAACACATATTTGTTGGGTGCCACTTGCGTCAGGCACGCTGCTAACACTGGAGAGACAGCGGTACACAAAACAGGCATGACCCCTCCACGCGTGGGCTCACGGTTTAGTGGGGGAGGTTGACATTCACTCGGTCATCTCAGAGGCACATGTGACATGACAGCCGTGAAAGACGCTACAAAGAAGAGGAATCAAGGTTGCTATGACATCCGAAAGTAGGGAGATTTGACTTCGATGTGAAGATTAGAGAAAGCTGCTCTGGGGAGGGCGGCGGGGGTGGAGCTGGAATCTGAAGGGCAAGGAGTGGATGATGGGAAGGGAGGGAGACTGCCCGAGCGGAGGCCCTGTGCTGGGAGCGGGCAGAGCCAGGAGAGGGGCTGGCCGAAACCCAGAGGGCCCGGCCGGGGCACGCCACCACCCACCTCTCACTCTGGCCCTCTCTGCCCGGACCCCAGGCACACCCCCTCCTCTGGGCCAGCTTAGCACGCGCCCTCTGGCTCTGCCAGTGCCTCGTGGGGTGGAAGCTGACCACACTCTGGTCTAGAATGGCTGAGAGGTTCCTGGGTGTGTGTTACAGCTCCCGGCGTCTCCTGACACTCAGCGAGGCTGTAACAAGGGCTGCCAGCCCAAGTGAAAGAAGGAAAAGTCGGGATAGTCACTAAAATGTCTGTGTCAGCCCTGGGTTTGGGCTGGGGCCGTGCCCTCAGAGATGTGCACGAGCAGCAGTGTGGTGAGCTCCACGCCCTTTCCCGGCTGGGCTGGGCTTGGGGTGGGGACTGCTGGAAATGACCCAGGTACATGCCTCCTTCCTGGGCTAATTGAGTGCCAAGTGTCACGTGCCAAAGAGAAGAAAATGCCATGAAAACAGGCCCTCGGACGCTTTTCCCCAAAGCTCACGAAACACAGATTGAAATGACAAAGATAATTGGCCGTAATTATAAGGTAAACTTCAGGGCTTTGGGAGGAGACCTGATTTCCTGCTTTGGAAATGATGGTGCTTCCCTGTGCCAGACGTGGGTTCCAGAGCTCGCCAAGGAGGGCAGCCCTCACCCCTGTTCCCAAACCATCTCCTGGAGGGGAGAGGGAGTATCTGGGGAGGGCAGAGGGAGGCAAGAAAAGAGACGCCAGAGAAAGTGAAAGCTGGCAGGCCCAGAAAACTGGGGCTTGGAGGTCGTTTGTTCAGGGACACTGGCTGAGTCCAGATTCAGGGTTTCCAACACTGGCTTTCCAGCTCCCTTGGCTTCATTAGTTATCTCGGGCAGAGCTGCCAACTTACAAAACAAAATTAAGTTTAATTCACTGAGAAGGGGTGGGGAGATGTATGTGTGCATGTGTGTGTATGTATATGTATGAATGTATCTGTGCATGTAAACAGATGAAATGCAAGCTCAGAGAGGTTAAGTATATACATACGTATATATATATATATATATATATATTCAAACTGTATTGAATAATTCAAAGGTATTAGAGACAGGCACCGCTCCAAGTCTTTCCACAGAAAGTCCCATCTAATCTTCATAATCACTTCAAGGTGGTGATTATTATCAACCTCATTTTACAGATGAGGAAACAGAAGCTCAGAGAGGGTAACTAATTTGCCCAAGGTCACACAGCTATTAGCTAGTGGAGCCTGAATATGAGGCTCAGCTGCCTGACTCCAGAGTCGCCCGTGCATCACCCCAGGCCCCCAGTCGGACTCCTGGCTTGGAGTTGGGGCTCCTGGAAGGTGGCTGCCCTCCGCCTCATTCACCATTCAGTAGGTCGAAGAATTCTTTGTGCGGCCCTCGTCAGCACCACAAAGCTCGAAACAGAAATGGGGAACAATCCATTCAACGCTCCGTGTGGATTTTCATGCAAGGCAGCCGTGTCCTCGTGTGCTTGCGCTGGGGCTGAAACAGAGCATTTAAATGCAGATCAACGCAAAGGTTGACCTGCTGGAAATGCTCTAGTAGTTCTAAGGCTGGCAGGGCAAGAGTGCAGTCTTCTGAAAGGGTCCCTCCGGGGCCTGGGCTGCAGGCTAGAGGCAACGTTGGAGTTCAGAGTGTTCGTGAAGGGCTTCCTACAAAGAGCGCTTTCTCACACAGCCGCGTCTGCATTTCTGAAGTGAAACCTTTTGATTCCGCATCTTCTGAGCCTCGATGCCAGGTCGCCAGGGACATTCTGCACTTAAAACAGCTCCCTCGCAGCTCCCACTTGGCTCCACAGTGCCAGATGCAACAGCACCTGGGGAGTTCTGGGGTCTTCATCACACAGACGATGTTTCCTGAGCATCTACTGTTGCCCGCTAGTGTACAAGGATGCTCTAGTGAGCAAAACAGATATGGTTCTGCCCCATCATCACAAATTCACGTAAAGGATGTCCCCAGGGGGTGCGGGGGATGGTATCAGGGAAGCGATGCTGAAGCAGAGGCCTGAGCATCTATGTGAGGTGACTAGACAGGGAGGGAGAAGAGGAACCAGAGGGTGCAGAGACCTGCCCCCGTACCAAGCGGAACGTGGGGCGTTCGAGGAGGGGTAAGGTCACTGGAGGTGGAACCAGAGGTCAAGGCAGAGTTTGCTGTAAGGTGAACCAGAGAGGCAGCCAGGGACTGCAAGGGTCAATTTCGTGTGTCAGCTCAGCCACGCTGTGGTGCCCAGTGGTTTGGGCAAACGTGAGCTAGACGTTGCCGTGAAGTTACTTTGTAGATGCATCAACATCTACAGTCAGTTGGCTTTTGAAATAAAGGAGATCACCCTTTCTAATGTGGAGGTGGGCCTCAAAAAATCCGTTGAAGACCTTAAGAACAAAAAACTGAGGTTTCCTTTAAAAGAGGGAATTCTGCCTCCTGACTGTAACATAAAAGTCCTGCTTGAGTTTCAAGTCTGCCTGCCTGACCTTCCTTAGAATAAATTCTCTCTCCCCCTCCCCCTCCCCCTCCCCCTGTGTATGTATTAATATATGTGTATATGTAATGTATTCGTATTTCCTGTTGGTCTGTTTCTCTGGAGAATCCTGACTGGTACAGGACAGACCACAGAAGGCTTTGCAGGGTTTGAGCATGAGTTGGGTAGCCCTTCTCCAACAAGCAGTGGAAGACAGGGAAGGATTTTAAGCAGGGAGAGAGGCCGATATAATCAGCATAGTCCTAACCAGAGCCAGGCTAGAGCCCAGGGCGCCTGGCATGGTAGGCTCCAGAATCATCTGTGTCATGTTGCCCATCCTCCAGGGTCCTGAACCTCCCTGTGTCAGATGAGTATGCTGTCAGCATCCCTGAATCCCAGTGGTCATTTGTGCATTTATTCAACTGTTTTGCAAGTGCATGCATTTGTGGAGCACGGCCTGCCCTGCAGATGGAGCTAGGCCAGGCCAAGGGCACTCCTTGACACCACTGCAGGTTTTTGTCTTTTTAATCCAAGGTCCTGTGAACAGCCTTTCACCACATTCATTCATTCATTCAACAAATATTTGAGGCCCTACCATAAGCTGAGCATACTATGCTCTGGGATACAGCAGGAAACAAAACTGGCAAAACACCCAGCTTCGTGCAGCTTACATTCTAGTGAGGGCTGACTTCTCGGGCTCTGGAGTCCAACAGATGTGCGTTTAGATCCCAGCTCCTGAGCTCACTGTTTAAACCTCTCTGTGCCTCAGTGTTCTTGCCAACAAAATGGACAAATATACCCAGCAAAATACACCCCCCAACGCCAGAGGATTAAAGGAGATAACAGACCAGAGTCTTTCTCCCAAAGCACTGGCATGTACACCTCAGCTAATGCCGGTGAATTTTGTCTTGGTTTTGTTATTGTCCTTGTCATTGTGCTGTCTGTGAGGTTGAGTAACATACCTCAAGCCACACAGCAAGCCCAAGCCATAAACCCACCCTCCGATGTACTTGCCACAGGGTCTTCTAAAAAGACCCCAGCAAGGAGACTTGGGGTTTCGGTGTTTTGTTCTGGGTTTCAGCTTAGATGCCTCAAGTTTGCTAAGTAATTGTAGCAAAAAAAAACGAGAGAGAGTCAGAGAATGAGAAGCGGAAGAGGGTGAGAGAGCGCTGCCAGGCTGAGGCCAGACTCCTTCAGGCTGCTCCCTCCTCTGGGGTTAATTAGTCTCCCTCTAGCAGAGATGCTTTCTGGACCAGCGCCTCCCCAGCAGCCCTGCTCATTCATCCAGCTTCTGCCTCCCAGCTTCCCTCCATGCCACGCATCCACAAAGCACTTCCTGCAGGTGACCAGGTGGCGGCCCAGCACGGCTTGTCTCCCCTCCTTCAGCCTGCATAGACCTCAGAATCCCACCATGCCTGCAGCCTCCCCTCAGGTGCCTGCCCCTCCACCCGCCATCATCTGATGAGGGGCAGGGCCAGTGTCCACACAAAATGTAAATGTCCTGCAGGTGATGCTGGGCAAGAGGCATTCAGGAAGCTCTCCAAAACGCCGGCCCCTGCACCTGTCTGCGGTCATGGCCTCTCCTTGCCCTTTGTTTTTTAGGGAGTCTGGGGGGGGTTAAAATTGAGTTATAATTAACATATAATATTGTATTTGTTTCAGGTACATAGTGATTGAATGTTTTTATACATTACGAAATGATCACCCCAATAAGACCAGTTACCATCCATCATCATATACAGTGCTATTGACTATATTCCTTATGATGTACATTTCCTCCCCGTGACTTATTTTATAGCTGGAAATGGGTATCTCCTAATCCCCTTCACCTATTTCATCCGTCCCCTGGCCCCCTCCTCTCTGGCAACCACCAGTTCTCTGTATCTGGGAGTCTGTTTCTGCTTTATTTTGGTTTTTAGATTCCACATTTAAGTGAAATCATACCGTATTTGGCTTTCTCTGTCTGACTTATTTTACTTACATAATACCTTCTAGGTCCATCCACGTTGCTGCAAATGGCAGAATTTCATTCTTTTTATGGTTGAGTAGTATTCCATTGTATATATACCACATCTTCCTTATCCATTCATCTACTGATGGACACTTAGGTTGCTTCTATGGCTTGGCTGTTGTAAAGAAGACTTCTATGAACATTGGGGTACATGTATCTTTTTTAAATAAATTTATGTATTTTATTTATTTTGGGCTGTGTTGGGTCTTCGTTGCTGTGCGCAGGCTTTCTCTAGTTGCAGCGAGCAAGGGCTACTCTTTGCGGTGCGCGTGCTTCTCATTGCGGTGGCTCCTCTTGTTGCAGAGCACGGGCTCTAGGCGCATGGGCTTCAGTAGTTGTGGCACGTGGGCTCAGTAGCTGTGGCTCGCGGGCTCTAGAGCACAGGCTCAGTAGTTGTGGCACATGGGCTTAGTTGCTCCGCGGCACATGGGATCTTCCTGGACCACAGCTCAAACCTGTGTCCCCTGCATTAGCAGGCGGATTCTTAACCACTGCGCTACCAGGGAAGCCCGGGGTGGACATGTATCTTTTCAAATTAGTGTGTTCGTTTTCTTTAGATAAATTCCCAGAAGTGGAATTACTGGATGTATGGTAGTTCAATTTTTCGTTTTTTGAGGCAACTTCATACTGTTTTCCATAGTGACTGCACCATTTTACCTTCCAGCAGTGCACGAGGGCTACCTTTTCTCCACATCCTTGCTGACACTTGTCGTTTCTTGCCTTTCTGACAATAGCCATTCGGACAGGTGAATGAACTGACCACAGTGTGATCTGCCCCACCTCCCGCTGTCCTCCCTTCACCCACGAGACTTCGGCCTCCCCAGCCTTTCCTTCAAGTTCAGGGCCCTCCCCAGGCGGCAGTCTCCTATGTTGCATCTCCTCCTTGGCTGCATCTTTCTGCAGGAAGCTTTGGGCATTGTCTATCACTACACCTTGTTCCTTTCCTTCAAAGCACACATTGCAATTTGTAACTTATATTACTTTATGTGTGTGTCCCTTCTCTCTCCCTCCCTCTCCCTCTCTCTCTCTCTCTCTCAGTCTCTCCTTCCCTTCTCCCTCCTTCCTTCCCACACATTAGATTTTTAAATGCCAGAAAGTAGGCACCACCCCTATCTTATTCACCAGCATATACGGTACCTGGCACATCGCAGTTGCCCAATAAATATTTCTGCCTGAATAAATGACTACATCAGTGACTACATTCCTCTTAGCTCCTCTGCCTGAGGGCATAATCTAAACGCATGTGCGCGGCTGAATTTTAAGTCAGATGATCAAGCTCCCTGAAGGCAGAAATGGAGTCTGGTTCATCTTTGTATCTCCCCCAGCGACTAGCATAGTTCTTAGAGCAATAGATATACAACAAAGATTGAGGACCAAAGGGACATTAATCCAACATGCCATGGCAAGCAGAGGCCGTGTGGGGTCCCGCCCAATGTTCTGTGCCACGAGGATCCCTCAGGGCCAGCCAAGGGAATAAAGTCACTTGGCCTTAATTTAAGGTAATGCCCAATGCCTTACCTTTAAGGTAAGGTAAGGACAAGTTGTCCCTAAAGCTAAGCCCGGTTTGGTCGTTGTGACACACTTACCTATATCATATTTTAACCCATTTCATCCCATTCAGTCATTTTGTGCTGGGTCTACTGGATGCCAGGCAGTGTGCTAGCACCTCATTACTCAAAATGTGGCCTGTAGACCATGAATGAGCTCCACCATCTCCCAAGAGCCTATCAAGAATGCAGACTCTCCAACCTGATGGCAGACCTACTGGATCAGAATCTGCTTTTTAGCAAGATCCCAGGTGATTCATATGTACATTACAGTTTAAGAAGCCCTGAGCTAGAAAAAGGTAGACCTAGGGTCTGCCTTCATGGAGGCTGAGGCAGGCACGGCACCAACGAGCAGCAATAGCTGGATGTTGACTGTTATGGGAGAGGAAGCTATGCGAGCTTTATATCAAAGGAGACTCACCCAGGAGATGAGAGCAGACCTTATAAGCCACCTTAAAGATTTTGCTATTTTGTCCTGAGAGCAACAGGAAGCCTAGGGAAAGGGGTCTACAGCAAGGGTGGGGATAAATGAATCAGCCCGTGTCTCCTCTTTAGGGTAGTCATAACGTTTGTAATTCATCATCAAAACACGACTTCCTTCTCTATCTTCAACCACGCTCGGGTGTCTGATGAGCAGGTTGGCACAGAAGCCCGCAGTCCAGGCAGGTCTAGGCTCAGCCTTTGCCCATTCAGGAGGGGTCTCCTTCTGTTGGTGCGGCCTCATTCTGAACCCCATCCCGTTCTGCACGTGGTCCTCCTGCTGGGGACTGTAGCACAGGGCTCCAGGAACATGCCCTGTCTCCTCAGTTTCCGGATGCATATCAGAGATACTCAACACGGATTTAGGGTTCTTAATGGCTCAGCTCTCCACACACTCCGGTAGCTACATAGAGGCCATTTGGAACTGTGATAAAACTGCAGTCAGAGAGACCTGGGTTCAAGTCCTAACTGAACCACTCGCTGTGTGACCTTGGGCAAGCGTTTTAACATCTCTGAACTTCTGTTTTCTCAACTGTGAATCCCTGCCGTGTAAGGGTATTGTGCAGGCCAGATACAAAGTGGGTGCTTGATTCAACAAATAATTTATTGAACACCTACTGTGTGCCACTCTGTACACAGTCTTAGGGGGCTCCAACCCTGGGCAATTTTAGGCAAGAGCCCCGCCATCATGGACCTTAGCAGCGCAGTGGGGAAAAGTGTCATTAATTGAACAATCACACAAATAAATATTAGACGACAAATGTAGTATATGCTTTGAAGTGGGGGAAAAAAGAGCCATGAGAGAGCAAAACAGGGACCCAGTCCAGCCTGGGAAGTCGGGAGAGGCATCTTGAGGTAATGGCAGTGTGCGCATTGTCTCTTTGCCCAACGTGACTCTGCACCTCTCTTTCAGGTACCTGGAAGGAAACCACTTGACAGCCGTGCCCAAGGAGCTGCCCACCCTCCGACACCTGACGCTCATGTAAGGAGCCCAGCGTTGGTGGGATATTTCATTTTCTGTCCTTAGGGGGTGCAGGAAACGGATGCAGAGGGTGGGAAGGGCGGCGCTGCAGGCTTTGGGGCATTCCTGCACTTTTCCCCCTGGGTGGAGCGGCAAGAGGCAGCTGGGAAGGATGGGCTGGCCGGATGTGCCAGGTCTCACCCAGTGAGGACTTCATGCAGAAGTACCCAGATCCTGGCCTCATTGGCCACCTGTGGCACCTTCCTCCTTGGCTTGGAGCCTCTGACCTTCCGGTCTCCCAATTAAATTCCCGAGATCCCTCAGTTTCTTGCAAGCTGTGGCTGCACTTAGGTTTGCCAAAAGCATAAATTTGGCATTTCTTCTTCCTCCTTCTTTAGTTACTCAGAAAATGTTCTAAGCAGCTGGTTCAAATTGAGGTTCTTTCAGGTGGGAGCCGCTCCTGGCTCCAAGTCGGCCAAAACCCAGGAAAACCTCTGACTGAGGAGCAGGGCTGCTGGGCACAGGCGGGGCCCAGGAAGCTGGGGAGCCCTTGAGCATTGTCCCTCACTGCCTTGCCAAGAGGGCACCCAGGATCCTTGGGCAAGTGCTGTTGAAAGGTGCCCCATCTGCTTAGGGGGCAGGGAGTCCCGGAGCAATGGCCCTCAACCTCAGCTGATTATGTATCACAGTAGTTTGGGGTTTCTTTTAAATACTGATGCTCAAGCCTGCCTTACACCAATTAAATCGGAATATCTGGGCATGAAACCTAGGCCTCAGAGAACTAAAGCTCCCCAGATGATGCTAATGTACCGCTGATGCTGAAAACCACTGCCCTGGATACTTATCCTCGGGGAGAAGCTGGAGCTTGCAGTTGGCAAAGGACCACACTCCCACCAACCTCATTCCCCCAAGAGAGAATCTGATAAGATGGAATAAATGAATGCTGGAAGAGAGGGACGGTGGAGGGGCTATGAGGAGAAGAATTGATCAGGGGGGAAAAGCACTACAACAAGGGGAAATTGTTACCTTATGTGTTATGTTTTGCTGGTAGAATCAAATTGATGGATAGACACCACTGAATGTTTGAATAGCTGAATAAATAGATGAATGAATGAACGACAATTGGTGGAATGACTGATTGAATAAATCTTCAGTAAAAAAATGAACATTTGGACTAATGGGTGGATAGGTGAATAGATGGATGGGTGGATAGATGGATGGATGGACAGCTGGGTGGCAGATGGACGGATGGATGGATGGATGATAGATGGGTGGATGGACAGATAGATGGATGGGCTGATGGACATATGGGGAGGATGAGTGGATGGGTGGATGGATGGGCAGACAGATGGATGGGTGGACAGATGGATGTATATATAGATGAATGGGTAGATGGGTGAATAGACAGATGGGCGGATGGGTGGATGGATGGGCAGATGGATGGATGGGAAGGTGGGTGGAGGGGGTGGATGGATGGATGGATGGATGGATGGGAAGGTGGGGGGCGGTGGAGGAATGGATGGATGGGCAGATAGGCAGATAGGTATATGGACAGACAGACCAGTGGATGGATGGATGAGTGGGTAGATGAATGAATGGGCAGATGGGTGGATGGACAGATGCATGGACGGACAGATGGACAGATGGGTGGATGGATGGATGGGAGGATAAGTGGATGGACAGATGGATGGGCGGATGGACAGATGGTTGGATGGATGGATGGATGGATGGATGGATGGGAAGATAAGTGGATGGACAAATGGATGGGTAGATGGACAGATGGACAGATGGGCAGATGAATGGGCAGACGGGCAGATGGATAGATGAGCGGGCAGATGGGTGGACGGACATATGGACAGGTGGATGGGTGGATGGCTGAATGGATGCATGGATGGGTGGGCAGACGGGCAGACGGATGGGTGGATGGATGGATAGCAGGCATGCATGCATGTGTGAAAGTTGGGAATGACCCCCTCTGGTTGCAACTAACAGTACAATGTGACCCTTCTGCTTACTTTTCCTAGTGACCTGAGCAACAACAGCATTGGCATGCTGACCAACTACACCTTCAGTAACATGTCTCACCTGTCCACCCTGTGAGTACAGTAAGCTGCTGTGATTAACATGAGCCTGATACTAAGTGCGTCCTTCCTCTGTCCCCTCAGGCTTACACGCTCCGCTCTAGCGATCCTCAGGGCTGTGGCTGACCCAGCACAGGGCAGATCTTAATCATCAGAAGGAAAACAGAGTAGGTCAGAACTCCACTGTCTGGGCAGCTAGAGAGGGGTTGGCACCTAATTACTTCTGAAAAAGTTCCTCTTTGGAATACCTTCTGTGATTTGTGAATTTTCTCTCCCAGTGAGGGTTTCCCTACACAATTATATTTTGCTCAGACCCCTTTATTTCCCATTAGCTCTGTATACTGTGGGCACTCACCATCTGACAATAGACGGAGGTGATGGCAAAGCTGGTTAGGGAGCCAGCCTGCTAAGGAACATATGAGGAAACTGGGAAATGAAGCCAGTGAGCTTCCTGGAGTGATGGGGAAATGTTTCTCTTTCCCTTATCCCTAGGATGCTTTTTGTCAGTCTATTAAAATTGGGAGGGTAAAGAAACCGTTTGCTTTGACTGGTCCAGTGTGGACAATGCATGTATCAGCAGCTAAGAATAGGAAGAACCAACAGAGCCTGTGTGTCCTCTTCCACAGGATCCTGAGCTACAACCGGCTGCGATGCATCCCCATCCACTCCTTCAATGGGCTGCGGTCCCTCCGAGTGCTGTGAGTACCCCAGTGCGCTGATTTCTACTTATGCTTCGCTGGGTAACAGCAGGCAGGACTGAGCACTCCTGTTGCCTGCTCTTCCTTGCTCAAAGCCCACTCTGCCCGCCATGCGTCCCTCGCCTAACCCAACACTCTTAATTTGCTCAGTGGGGCGGAGAGAGCTCATACTTAAGAGTCAGTCACTCCCTGCTCCCGCTCACTTCCTCTGTGGAACCTGGCACACATCACTAACTCCTCTGAGTTCCCACTTCTTTATGTGCAAAATGGGATCCATAGCACGTCCCTTGCAAGGATTAGGATCTGCGATTCTATGCAATTATGTTCTGCACCCCACACTGTGCAGCACTTGGCCGCTCTTCTGATGATCATTACATCACAGGTGGTCCCTCTGGCTTCAGAAGGGTGATGTTAACACTGTGAACCTCCGCAAGGAGACCAGGCTCATGCAGCGGAGAGCCCAAGCTGGAAGCCAGCGGCCAGGGCCGGCACACACACATAGCCATCCGTTCGCAACCGAGTCGACTCATAAAGCATCCTTAAAGTTTTAATAAGTTGCCAACATTTAAATATCAGGAGGTTTCTCATATAAATCCCGACTTCTACACTCTCTTGGAAAATGGAGAGACCTGGCCTCACAGGGCTCCCCTCTGCATTCCTGCAGGGCTGAGCCGTCCCGCCCCTTTGAACAGAGTTCTGCAGTCTGCAGCCTCCACATCACCCACCCATCTCTTGTCACCTTATGATACCTGCCTGTCCCTGGCCTACACAAGGGTAGTGGACAGCCAACTGAGGCAGATGAGCTCTGAGCAAAGGCAAGATAGCCATGGAGTCCCCTGCTTTCCAGGCATGGCTCTGCCCCTCCCTAGCTGTGTGTCTTCTCATCATGAAATCAGATAACGATGGTAATGGCCTCACAGGGTCTTATGAGGATTAAATGAGATACTGTACGTAAAGCACTTAGCACAGCTCTGGCCCATGGTAGACACTTTATATTCATTTGGTATGACTGTTCTCACATGAGCACTTGCAAGAGCAGGAATGGCACCTCACTGCCACCCCAACCCTGGGCCCATTGTCACCTGATATTTCTGCCTGCCCATCTTGCACCTATTTTGTTGGCAAGGGAGGGTCCTTTGAATGATATTCCCATGAGAACAGAGATGCCAGACACTCTGCCCCCAAACCTATCAACTTCTTTCCCTTCTGGCCCATTATGACTATAATAGTGAAAACCATAATTTTATGGGGCTTTTCACGGTCATTGCCTCATAATGCTGTGTGGTTGAGAGGGTTATGTCCATTTTAAAGATGGGAAAACTGAGACCCAGATTGGTGAAGTCGCTGGCCCAAGATTCAGCAGTCAGGAGGTTGCAGAATCCAGCCTCCTGACTCAGAGCCCCGGGATCCTTCCCAGAACCCAGTTACGGTCAGCAAACAGCACCCAATGAGCAGGTCCATTTCGGAGCCTCCAGGCTGATGTGATTTATTGAGGCCCACAAAACACCAGTGTCAGCGACAGCTCCCGCCACATGTCATCTGTGCTGTTATTAAAAATCAATTCTGTGGGGGGCAAAGAAGTACCCGTGCTGACAGTGTGCAATCTGTTACTGTCACTTATTTTATTATCTATCTTCTCTGGGGAGCTCGAGAATGGAAACATCAGCAGAACCCATTTCCCTGTTTCGAGTTGAACACCACGGGAGATGGGCTCATCTCATTGGCTGGGGCTGGACCTGCTGCCCCCCCACCCCCGCCATCCCCCCTCAATCCCAATCTATTGTCCCCCACCCCAGTCTTCCAGTTCTGGGCATAGCTTGGCTGCCAGGGGGTGTGTCCTGCCATTTCAATGGGATCCGTGTGCCTATGTTCATAATTAGAGTAGTTCTGGTTGGGACAGCTCAACATGTGGAAGGGAGAAAGAGAACGTTTGCCTGTCCATCTGTCTGTCTACCAGGGTGGTGGGGTGCTCATCACCCCCCTGTCCAGGATTTCCTCCTTCCTCAGCACCTCGTTGGTGTCACTCCAGAGCCAGTGCTGTCGTTAGTTCACCAGGAGTCCACATAAAACATCCAGCACACTTGTGCTTGCTTCTTGAATTCAGAGTGACTAGGCTTTTCGCACCATCATTTTAGAATCATGGGCTCTTGTAGATAAAAGAGGATCTTAGAGGCCCTCATTCCAACTGTCTACCTCAGTGGGGAGCAGCCATTTTCTGCATAAGGGCCAAGGCAGGAAAAATTAAAATGTCTATGGGCTGCGTTTCTTTTATGGTATTTGTATCCTTTCTCCCAGTAATTGCACATCTAGGAATTTTACGAAAGGGTATCCAAAACGAGAGAAAGGTTCTCTGCATTAAGAGCTTGGTTGCACTGTTATTTTTAACCTAAATTTTAAATATTACCCAGAAGGCCACAGTGGGGAAATGTTTAAGTAAAGCGTGATGCAACCAGTCGATGAAGTGCAATTACTAAAAGAGGAAAACTAATAGCAGAGGAGGAACCTGTTTACCCCATTGCATTATGTGGAAAAATAAGCCTAATTTGTATATTGTTACAATTATAACTGTATATATGTACAGTTGTAACATATATACAAATTAGGTTTATTTTTCCACATAACACTATGTGGTAGACAGGTTTCCACACTGCTATCTAGTAACTGTAACTGTATCAGTTATGACATTGATAGCCATGAAGAAGGACTGTAAGGGAACATGGGCACATACATGAAAAAAACCATTGATAGCTAACGGGTAATATCAAATCATTTCTGTAATAAATGAAGACAGAGTTAAAGATGACTGAAGGCAGTAACATATTTATAATTTGGGGGGTTGGGAAGCAAAACAGGATTTTGGAAATCAGAAATGGCAGTACCTGTAACTGCATGCGGTCATTCGTATATTCTTTTCTCATTTCTAACGGGTTTCATTAATTTGATTAGAAGTTCAGAAATAACCAGAGACCCAGGGATGCTGGCAGTTGGGGGTGAGGAAGGAGGATAAGCAGCAAGGTTCAGCCACAGACGAAGGCCAAAAAGTGTTCTGGAAAGCAGCAAGAAAGACCTGACATTTAGGAAGGGGGGGGGGTGGGGAGAGAGAGAGAGAGAGAGAGAGAGAGAGAGAGAGAGAGAGAGTGTGTGAGTGTGTTGGTGGGTGGATATGAATACATTTCAGAGACAGGATATTGGTCAAGGAGCTTTGAGAACAAAACTTTGTGTGAAAATGTGCTTCTCCTACCTCACTCCTAATCTAAAAATAGCCGGAAGAGAACATCCTCCTGGACGTTCTAGTCCTTTTTCGGGGATCTGTGTGCTCCCTGATCTTTGCCCCACGCCGAGCCACGTGCCTGGTGTGCGTGTGGTCCCAACTGTCACCCCCCGGCCCCAGCTGCAGGAGGGCCACCTGGAATCAGTTAGCGCCAGGACGGTGTCAGTGTGTGCTTGTGAGGGAGCGAGCGGGATTGTCATTCATCATCCATATTGTTTTAGCTCCTGTTCCCTGAAATAAGACTGTGCTTGCTGTTTATGCACATGTGGCTATTCACCACTGCTCAGCAGGTTGCATGGACCCTCCCTACAGCATCTCTGCAAAGGGCTCCATTTGCCCTTTTGCTGGATTACCTTCAGAGACTAAGAGCTCGCTCTCTTCCCAGACAACCCCATTCCATTTTTGACCAGCTGTTGAACATCAGGCGACTCTGGTGAGCCAAAAGGTGACTCCTTATGGTCCTGGTTTGGCCCTTTTGTGCCACCAAAAAAAAAAAAAAAAAAAAAAGTGTAATTATGAATTTTAGAAGTGGGGAGTGAGTCTCAGAAACCCTGTCCAAACCACTCATTTATAAGACAAGGAGGCAGATTCAGAAAGGTTTAATGACTTGCTCAACATCGTTCACTTCTTCATCCTTTCCTGAATGCCCACCGTGAGCTAAATGCTATGCTAAATACCGCAGCAGGTGGGGCACAAATAGTGAATGTAGCACAGTTCCCTCTTTCAGAGAGCACACGGTCTAGAACGGGAAATAGACAGACAACTACAGTACAGGGTGATGCCTGTGAAAGAGCCATAGGAATACGAGTGAGAGGCATGGAAGCCAGTACTGGCCATCAAAAAGACTTTGAGAGATAGTTATCACTGCTGACACTTGTTAAACCTTGACTATGCACTGCACACAGGGCTAAATGCTTTATTACATTGTCACATTCACTCTTCCCATCAATTCTGTGAAGAATATACCACCATTATCCCCATTTCCCAGATGAGGAAACAGAGGCTTGGCAAAATTGAGTAGCTTTCCCAAAGTGACACAACGAGGAGAGAGTAAAGTTGGGATTTGAACCCAAGCCTGTTTACTCTCAGAATCACTGCTCTTAACTTCTGCTCCCAAGGCTGAGTCTGGGATGCCAGAGGGAGTTACCCAAACAGGGATAGGAGTGAAGAACATTCTAGGCAGGGAAAATATAAAGGCACTGGACAGAAGCCTGGAAGTCAGGAAGGGCATGTGCATGGGGGTGGAGGGGTGGGATGTACAGGAAGCTCCAGGTGTGGCTGGAACGTGGCTTCTGGGTGTGAGAACAGGAGGAGATGCGGCCGACTAGTCATAAGGTGGGAGCAGAACCAAGGCTGGAACCCATGTCTCCTGGCTTCTAGCCCAGTGTTCTACCACCTTCCATCCTGCCCCGTCGTAGGTTATCATCTATTTTTATTGCCTCTCATTTCAGACTTTTCTTGAAGACTGGGGCGGGGGGGGCGGGACACGGCCTTTTTAAAAATGGAGTGTTTTTTTCCTTGCCCAGAGAGGCCTGGGATGAGAATTAATGAGTGGGGTGGCATGAAAGACATGGGCCGAAAGGTGATGGACACAGGGCAGCTCTGGTAAAATTCAGTGTGTCTCCTGGAATCCTCCACGGGGCTCCTTTGGGATGATAGGCTGCATACCTTCACGCTTCTACTCTAAGTGGGTAACGCCTTGAGAGGAATGGCCCCAAATATGTCCAAGAACACAGAGGGGAAGGAGTCGTGACGATGCTTGCAATGATCGTGGCTGACCCGAGTGAGGGCTTACCGTGTGCTGGCCCTGCAGTGCGTCCTGCACCAGCTGAACCACTTGCATTGTATCTTTAAATCCTAGCTTAGGAAGCAGTATATTAGATCCCTTCCTGACTAAAGGAAAAGAAAATCAGTTCAAACCACCTTAGGCAGAAAAAGAGAATTTATCGATGCAGGTAACTGAAAAATGCAGTAGTAGGGATTAGATTCCATGGCTGGATGCAGGTACTCCAGTGGTACTGTCAGAAATGCATCTCTTTCTGCCTCTCAAAATGAAACTGTCTCTGTCCTAGTAGTTCCAAGGAAAGCCCCAGAAATATCTCTCAGTGGCCTACTTAGGTCACATACTCAACCTCAAACCAATCACTGTGACTCCGATTGGGCAGACCTGGTCCATAGCTCTGCCCATGAGGCCAGACCACTTGGACTCAGAAGTGGGGAGGGGTGATTCCCTAATGGAAGAGGGAGGAACTGTTACAGAAAAGAAGAGAATGATGTTGATCAACCCATAACCCCCAAAAGGTATCTACTGTAAGTAGATACTAAGAATTCCTCTATTTTAGAGATGAGAAAACTGAGGCACAGAAATAATGTCAGTTGTTTCAGGTCACACAGACACTGATTATTAGAATAGGGATTCGAACCCAGGCTGTCTGACTCCAGACCTTAACCCCCAGGTCACCTGGGAGTGGCCTGTGTTGCTCAGAAGAGAATTCACCCACCCCATCCCACATTTAGGGTGAGGATAGTTTCCGTCATCTGTCATACAAACTGTGAGCACCTAGAGGTTCGGAGACCCAGATTCAGGCAACCCAGAACTGACAGGGAATGGTTATGCCCTCCAGTTGCTCTCATGATGTCCTCATCTACATCCTGAAATTCCCTAGTCTGCCTTAACACCTCCTAAGAGTCAGGAGGGAAAAAAGAGTCCCGGATGCTTGAAGATGAGTCATTCCCAGTTCAGAGTTGCCTGCCTGCACCAGCTCCCTGTGAGGTGTAAGGGAGAACAAGAGGGAAAGGGGGAGTGCTTAGTGCTTCCTGGGAGGGCACATTTGTGCCACTCCCCTGGCATCCTTTAGGAGGGTGGTTGGACATGCAAGAGTCCTTCCTTGGGGGCCAAACCAGGAGCCAGAACGTGCAGTGTAGGCAGATTTCTTTAACGTTGTCCCAGTAAATTACAGCCCCATTACTCTGCAGTTTATAGAGACCTCAGCGGATCAGCTCGTAATAAATGGGAGTGCGACTTGCAGGGGTCACAGTACCAAAGCTGCCTTTGGGTCATTTGGTGTTTTTAAATTAGGGCTTTGTGCCTCTCCCGGAGCCCGAGCCGCCTTCGGAAATGATTAACAGCGGGGCTGGGTGCGTCCGCCAAACAGCAAGCAGCCGTGAAGTCATCCAAGTTAATAGTAGACGGGAGCCGGTGTGATTCATAAATAACCACACGGATTAGAGACTAAATGGTACTGATAAAAGTGTGAGGAAGAGCTTCTAGCCCCTTCTTAGGGAGGTGAGAAGCTTCCACGAACACTCTTTAGGGGACTGGGTACCCTCATCCTGCTGTCCTGGCTATCTAAGCTTCAATGAAAGCTTTCACACTGCCATTCAGGGAGACCAGGGATCTGGGGGAGCGGGTGGGGGGGGGGCTGGCACGTGGGTGTTAGAAATGCAGAACCTCAGGCCCCAGCCCAGACCCACTGAATCAGACTCTCTGGGAATGGACCTCAGAAATCTGCATGTGTTTTAGCCCTGATGCTCAGTCAGCTTGAGAGGCCCTGCTCATTATTAAGTGTAATTAAGCTCACATCTATATTTCAGCCGAAGACCCAGGGCAAGCTAACATCAGTTAAGAGGAAAACAGAAGAGCAGATTCATAAGTTACTATCCTGTTTACACTTTCACAGTCAACGTTAATCACCCCCTTTGTTTAACTAGGGCTCCCTTCACAGCCCAGGGGACGGTGCCCAGCAGCCACTAAGGACACCTTTGAGTTTCTACGAATGTCACTCCTTGCATTTCACGGGCCAGCCCCAAAGTGAGTCAGCAGTTTGGGGATTATTTTGTATGCAGTGGATGACTAATCCTTCCATGGAGGGTATAACCCACGAATTGTGGATTTGCTCATGTTGTTACTTGAGCAGCAGAGCCGTGTTCCTTCAATATTTTTCAAAAACCTGTTCTCCAGGCACTTATTGAAAGCTCAGTGTGTGCCACCACCCTGCAAGCGAGCATAGCTCCCAGCTATTACACCGCAGGGTGGAGAGAGGCATGATTAAAGCCAAGCAGGTTGCCTGGCCCCTCGGACACACTGTCGGATAATGTACTCAGGTGCACACAAGAACAACACCCACATACGTGTGTGGGTAATGCCACACCCTTTCCCATAAAGATGAGTGTCCGGCTCCGGGGAGTCTCCCCAGGAGCTGAGTGCCCCCTTCCCTTTGTCTTCTGAGCTGGGATTGATAGCATTTCTCAATCTCCCTAAAATCTCTTTAGGTGAATATGAAGGGAACCAGTTTCTTGATCTGTACCAGGCATTGTTCAAGACCTTTTACACATATTAATAAGGTTAACCATTTAGTACTTAGAAAATGCCAGGCTCTGCGTGGACTAATGCACCCACAACCAAAGGTACCTTCTGTGGCAAATCTTTTTACTTTCTTTCATTCCCATTTTATGATAGGAAACCAAGGCACAGAGAGGGTAAGTAACTTTCCCCATAGTCACACAGCTGGTAAGTGACAGAGTCAGGGTTTGAATGCAAGCAGCCCAGCTCCAGAACTTCTGGTCTCAACCATAGTTCTTCACATTATCTCTGAAACCCCAGTGCCTTCACTAGATTGCTCTCTGTCTCCATGTTTCAGGTGCAAAAATGGAGGCCAGGAAAAGGAAAGTAACTCACCCAACGTCCCACAGCTGAAAGGGACTGATTTCTGATTCCATCACAAGTCCGTCTGATTCATCTTTGTCTTTCCCTAACCCTCTACTCCCTACATCCCTGCTGCTGATCTGGGCACGGAAACATCAGTGTACGTGACATGAAGGAGACGTCCCCTCCTGCTGCTGGCAGTGGAGCTCTGCGTGCTCAGAGGCATGGCTGGGCCAGCCTGGGACACCAAGAGAGTGTACTGAGTTCAGAGCTGTTACTGGGGGGTTAACTTTCTGACCTGTGCTTCTGCTTCAGAACCCTCCATGGCAACGACATCTCCAGCGTTCCCGAAGGCTCCTTCAATGACCTGACCTCTCTTTCCCATCTGTAAGTAGCCCTGTTTCTCCCCCATGTGCATCTCCTCAAAACAGAAAAGATTATAATGCCAGAGATAATACTATCAGTGCTACCACCTCAGTATGGTTTTTTCCCTATGAATAGAGTGTGTTTTATTTACAAAAATGTACCCACATTGTGCACATTGTGTGTTCTCTACGTCTTTGAAGGCATCCGAAGCAATCAATTATGTAAACAATGTAAATATTTAATAAGAACGGACATAAAACTCTTACTATGTGCTCAACACTTTAGATGAATTATCTCATATATTTCTTACAGCAGTAAGGCATTTTTATCTCCTTATTGGACATGATGAAACTGAAGTTAAGAAAGGCTGAAGAACTGGTCCAAGGGTTGCACAGCTAGTAGGTGGCAGAGACCTGGTTCAAATCCAGGTTTGCCTTGACGCCAAAGCACATATTCTTTCTACACTCGGCCTCAGGTAGTCCCCTCCCATTTTACACAGGAGAGACTGAGGCCCATAAATATTAGGTATTCCATAGCACTGCTGGTGAAAATGCTTGAGTTTGTATAACTGCTGTCTGTATATTTAATTATTTTTGTATTGTGCACATATACAACATTGATATATTATGTATGCATATCATAAAACATTCAAAAAATAGAAATGTTAAAGGCTATGGTTAAAAATCAGCAGAAGTTTTCGTATTTTCTTCCTCAAACAGCACTTTGGAGGTGTCTTCACTGGATGATACCATTTCCCTCCCCTGCACTTGTAAGCTGAGCGGTGCCTGGGAGGAGAACCTTCCTTCTACTCTCTCAGGCTCTGTGGCCGGCCCGGCATAAGCCAGATTAACAGGAGAAAAGCATACAAATGTATTTAATATTTTTATGTGTATGTGGGAGTCTTCAAAAGGAGAATGAAAACCCAAAGAAGCCATTGGGGCCCAAAGCTTATATACCATTTTTACACAAAGAATGATGAAGCGTGGGGCTCTGACACGACAGAGGAGCTTGGACTGGGGGCGGTAAATCATGGGACCGGGACTAGGAAATCACGCAGAAACTGATGGAAGGGCAGCGTTATTTTAGTAGGTTGGTTTGTACAGATCCATTTTGGTATCAACCCCCTTCTCTTCCTGGCCCGGGGAGGGTACCGCTCTCAGAGGAATATGACCTGCTTTTAGCTAGAAGCAGCATCTGCCGTTTCTCAAGTGCCTTCCCCTCAAAATAGTCAACAGACACAGCAGCATATTTGGGGGTAGCATGTTCTGAGCTCCTTCAGTGGTCTGAAGCTGCTTCCTAGGTTGCCGGGTATCAAAACCTTCTCTGCAGAGTACATCCTCCAGTGCAACCTTTAGTGGGGCAAGAGAGCCAGAAAATCAATGGCCAGAGGTCCAGGGAGCCTCCTGGAGGGGCTGAGATTGGGGGTGAGTTGAGGATGGAATCTTACCAGGGTAGGTGAGAGCAAAGCCTGAGGGATGGGAGGGGCTTGGGTGGAGTTGAAACATCTGCGGGGATTGGAGGTACAGTCTGGAGTTACTGACTTCACCCCAGTGAAGTCTCTGCTGGTCCTCCTGTCAGACACCCCCAATCTAGCCAAAGTCTGAAAATTCTGCTTTTCCAGAGGACCAAGACCACGGGGCCTGTGGGCCAAGCTGGGCGGGGGAGCCTGACTTCCTGCTCTGCCTCGTAGGGCACTGGGAACCAACCCACTCCACTGCGACTGCAGCCTGCGTTGGCTCTCGGAGTGGGTGAAGGCCGGGTACAAGGAGCCTGGCATCGCCCGCTGCAGTAGCCCCGAGCCCATGGCTGACCGACTGCTACTCACCACACCCACCCACCGCTTCCAGTGCAAAGGTAGGTGCTGACTCACCCCTCCCTGCCCCCTGCAGGGTCTGCTGTGTCTCCAGCAGCCTGTCAGAGCTAGGCATCTCAACAGGTGTGACTTCTAAAATCGATGCTGAAACTGATGTGGACCTGCATCTAAGGGTCCACTTGTCATTCGCTCCCCTAAGTCCCCCTGCTGCCATTTCTACATATTCCTCGTTGACCTCTTACTCTACATATTTTTGCGTAGTCGAGAAAATCTTTAACCTGCATTTTTTTTTTTTTTTTTTTTTTTTTTTTGTTCGGGGGCCTCCCCTTTTTTTGTCTTCCCCCGCTCCGCCGACACGGCCCGGGCCCCCCGGACTCGCCGGCCGGGG